CCCTTATGTATTATACATGGAGATCATATCCCCCTTATGTATTATACATGGAGATCATATCCCCCCTTATGTATTATACATGGTGATCATATCCCCCTTATGTATTATACATGGAGATCATATCCCCCCTTATGTATTATACATGGAGATCATATCCCCCCTTATGTATTATACATGGAGATCATATCCCCTTATGTATTATACATGGAGATCATATCCCCCCTTATGTATTATACATGGTGATCATATCCCCCCTTATGTATTATACATGGAGATCATATCCCCCCTTATGTATTATACATGGAGATCATATCCCCCCTTATGTATTATACATGGAGATCATATCCCCCTTATGTATTATACATGGAGGTCATATCCCCCTTATGTATTATACATGGAGATCATATCCCCCCTTATGTATTATGCATGGAGATCATATCCCCTTATGTATTATACATGGAGATCATATCCCCTTATGTATTATACATGGAGATCATATCCCCCCTTATGTATTATACATGGAGATCATATCCCCCTTATGTATTTATACATGGAGATCATATCCCTCCTTATGTATTATGTATGGAGATCATATCCCCCCTTATGTATTATACATGGAGATCATATCCCCCCTTAATCTCCTCTTCTCAGTAGAGAATAAATTCAGTTCCTCTAATGTTTCCTCATAGCTGATCTTCTCCATGCCTCTTATCAGTTTGGTTGCCCTTCTCTGTACTTTCTCCAGTTCCCCAATGTTCTTCCTGTGAATTGGTGCTCAAAACTTAACTGCATATTGCAGATGAGGTGTTACTGATGATTTGTACCGGGGGTACTGTGCCCTTTGTGTTGATTAGTCCTTGATTTATGGCATGTTTTCTTATTTTTTTTAAATTGATTAAAAGCACTGATAAGTATGTGTTTTAAATCTATCAACTATTTATACTATTTAACTATTTATTTATGTGTAAATTGGGGCTGGCTGGTAGAGGCCCCAGTGCATTACTTTGCCCAGGGGCCCATGATGCTATTAAGATGGCCCTGGCAGGGGAATCTTTCCACCAGGGACACAGGCAGCATTAAAAATCTGACAGGGGCTATAACTTTTTATATCACTTTGCTAACAATAAAAAAAAAAAACACATTTTGGCTGGAACCGAGCTTTAAATGACTAAGTGCCTTGTATAGCAGTTTGTACATCTTATCAATTTTTAATGGAACGCGAGACTTCCATTAACCAGCACTGAGGGATACTTGTTTTCATTCATCCCGCAAACATCTTGTACAAGCACATTTCAAAAAAAGCACTATTTATCGTTCTCAAGGAAAGTGTTGAGCAATTAATCCGACGGTTGTTGGACATTCGAACATTTGTGATTCCTCCTTTCTCCAAATGATTCAACATTTCCACTACCCCAACCACACCACCACCCCACCACAACCCACCACACCCAACCACTACCACCACCCCCCCCACCATCACCAAAAACCACCACAAACCACAACCCCCGCGAGCTCTACTCTACGGACTGCCCTTCAATCCTATCCACCTAGACAGAGGGGAACGGATCCCCTTCCATTTGTTTTTTTATGGATCGATTTGCAGGTAGGTGAGTGTAAACAGACACAAATCCGTTTACATTCATCGCTCCATAGAGGAGCATAGACCCATTGGACTGACCGTGTCAATGGGGCCTTAAGCCCCACCCACCATTTTTTTTTTTTTAAATTGTTGTTAACAGTGAATATGTTTTACCTATGTTTCTCACCCACACCTGGTAAAGTGCTCCAGGAATTGTATCTGTTATGGAAAACACAAACTTTTTTTTTTTTACAAATGTTACGTTTTGGAACCTGGAGACAAGTGATGGATGCCATCAAATAACAACAAGAGGAATAAAAGGCTCCACCCATGATGACATAACTTCCAAAAAGGAAAAAGAATATGTCAAAGGTCTGCCTTCAAAGGGGGAAAAATCTAGGTCCTCATTAACTATGTAAAGGGACATGAGACCAAAATCAACCTCTACGGTGTGCAAGTACACTAATAGTACGCTTAAGATGGGAAGCCGCTCTCTTTTTTCAATACATTTAATCCTGAAGGCAACAGACGGTCTGGTGACATCAGGAGTACAGTGAGCTCAGGCTGCATTGATGACATCTTGGGCTCAGAGGAAGTGGTTTGAATGGTGCTGGCCAAATGAGAACAGGTGAAGTTATGGAGAAGAATTTTTTTTATTACCAGTAGGAGTATGAGTAAGGGGTACTCTTTTGGAGAGGACTGGTGGTGGGCTATTTAAGTACTAGGGGGTAAGAGCAGTTTTTTTTTTCTTTTACAAGTGTTTTTTTTTTTCTTGTACAAGTATTTTTAGAGTGCTTCCTTTTGCTTCCCCATTTAACATTTCCTTCACAGAGTGGTTGCTAGTAGCTGTTTTTGACTTCCTCCTTAATGTCAGAGAACTCCAATGGGTGCAATACCATTGACTGTGTAGTGTATAGAAGGAGCCCAAACACAGAGACATGTTTAAACAGGTGACAGGGGATTTCCAGATCACACAATTAACTTTTACCAATGACTTTTGGAAAGTGGACAGCTGCTCGTTCACAGTTCAAAGCAGGGGAGTATTTACCACAAGGCAAACAAGGCATTTGCCTAGGGCGTCATTTTTCAAGGGGGCAGCACTGCCCCCAAAAGAGGGGATGGAAGAAAGGACACATGCAGCATGGGGACCAGGTGGGATCTGAGAGAGGCTGCGGGCTGCTTGATGGTGTATGCAGAGCCTAACTCTTGTTCCTGTGGATGTACAGAGCTGTGAAGGTGAGTGTCTTCCCTCTTGCCGGAGTGCGGGGGGGGGGGGGGGGTTGCCAGTATATGGGAGGAGGTGGTAGTGGAAGGCTCTCTTGGGTGGGGGGGATGAGGGGGGGTGTTGTTGGTCAATGTCAGGTTCCTATCATGGGGGAGGGGGTGTTTGTCAGTGCCAGGGTCTCTCCAAGGAAGGAGGGGAAGCCGATTTTTGTGTTGCCTAGGGCAGCATGAAACCTAAATACACCACTGGTTTAAAGCACAGACACCCAGCATTACTAATAGGACACCTTGCAGGAGGCTCTTCCATATACATTCCCTGGCTCTTGCCCAATCAGCTGGCCAAATGACACATTACCCATGCCCTGCATCGCCCCAACTACAATGCAGGACATCCCTTCCCATGCTACAGGATTCTATCTTCATAGCAGTTAACCTCTTACAACTGTGGCAAAGATTCTTCCTTACCCACAGTATCATTACTGCCATTACTGTCTTCTAATATATATTTTTTTTTTCTTTAAACCAGAATAAGAGCATATACCAGTAATAAATGCTTAGATTTGGTAACAACATTACACTGATAAAATGTACTGAAGGATCATTTCAAAATAGCATAACGCATACAAAATTTTTATTACCATGCATTGTTTGTTTTATTTTTTTTGTGATTGAAAAAATTCATTTTTCAATCCACCAAAAGAATTCCTACAGAGTTTAGATGAATATATATATATGAGGTGTGTCCAGAATATAATGAGAATGAAGTTCCTACGCTCGAGAAGGGCTCCATGAAGGGAGAAGCTGGACAAGGTCACTTGGGGGGCCAGGTACACGATAGAACACTGATCAGTTGCATTCCAGCCCTGGCAGAGTGGAGACATTCATTTTTGTGACACCTTGCCTCGTATTAATAGAAATGCAAGTGAGTTTGGAACAGTGGTACACGATATCATTTTGTATGAAATTGGGTAAAAGTGCATCAGAAACTTTGGAAATGGTGAGGCAAGCTTTTGGAGAAGCTCCACTATTATCTGCACAAGTGTACCAATGGCATAAGGCCTTCCAAGAAGGTCAAGAAGGTGTTGAAGACAAACAATGATCAGGAAGCCCCTTTTTGTCAAAAACTGAAAAGAACGTGGATGCAGTGAGGTCTGTGTGTGACCTCACTCCCACCGACAGCTCACTATCAGAATGATTGCAGAGGGACACGGGAATTTCCAAGTCCATTGTTCATGAAATCGTGACTCAGGATTTGAACATGAGAAAAGTGTGTGCAAAAACTTGTTCCAAAGAACTTGCCACCTGATCAGAAGAAACATTGCCAACTTGTTTGCCAAGACCTGTAGGAAAGAGCCTGATTTTTTGAATCGGGAGATAAATCCTTGGTGTTTGAGTATGATCCAGAAACAATGAAACAAAGTTCAAAATGACACACCCACATCACCTTGCCCCCAAGAAAGCAAATCAAAAGTCAAATCAATGGTTATTGGGGTTTTTTTTATTCATGTGGAATTGTCCTTACAGAATTTGTACTTACTGGTCAAACTGTGAATCAAAGATTTTACCTGGAAATTCCTGGTCACCTGAGACAAAGAGTTCTTGTGTGTGTGTCTTGAGATCGGCTCAACTTGCATCCTTCACCACAACAATATCCAAGTGTTGGCTGTCAGAGAGTTTTTGGCTGAAAACACATCACGGTGCTTCTCCAATCCACCCTACAACCCCCGACTTGGCTCCTTGCGACTTTTTCATATTCCCAAAAAGGAAGGAGGGTTTGAAAGGACACCATTTTGGTAGTGTCCATACATGCGATAACATCCAAACAGCCACTTCACAGGCTCTGAACGCCATCCCATTTGAAGACTTCCAGGGATGTTATGAAGAATGGAAAAATTGCTGGGAGTGTTGTGTACACGCACAAGGTGCATACTTTGAAGGAGACCATGTTCAATTGTAAAATTTTTCAATAAAAGTATGTTTAACCACCTCCCACCCGCCTTATAGTCCAGTGACGGGTGCAAGGTGGTCCTCTTGTTCTGGGAGGACGTCATATGACGTCCTCCCATTCTCACTTTCTCACTGCGCATGCGTGGCTCAGGGGACTCGCAGCGCGGCGATCGGCGGTGCGCCGTGTCCCTCGGACATAGCGGATCACCGATCACGGAAAGAGCCGAAGATGTCGGCTCGGTCATGTGATCAGCTGTGTCCAATCAAAGCTGATCACATGTAAACAGGGAAATGCCGATTATCGGCATTTCTCTCCTCTCGCGCTGTCACGCTGACAGCTCGAGAGGAGAGGAGAGCCGGTAAATGGCTTTCCGTGGAGGGGGCATGTACACTGATCATCAGGACACTGATGATCATTGTGCCCTGATGATCACTGTAGCCCCAGCAGTGCCACCTGTCAGTGTCCATCAGTGCCTTGTGTCAGTGCTCATCAGTGCCTTGTGTCAGTGCTCATCAGTGCCTCATGCCAGTGCCACATCAATGACACATATCAGTGCCTACCAGTGCACATCAATGCCACATATCAGTGCCCATCTGAACTGCCTTTTAGTGTCACCCATCAGTGCCAGTCAGTGCCACCTATCAATGCCAATCAGTGCCAACTATCAGTGCTGCCAATCAGTGCCACCTATCAGTGCCAGGCAGTGCCGCCTATCAGTGCGCATCAGTGCCGCCTATCAGTGTGCATCAGTGCTGCCTATCAGTGCCGTGTCCGTGCCGCCTATCAGTGCCAGTCAGTGCCGCCTAACAGTGCCAGTCAGTGCCACCTATCAGTGCTGCCTATCAGTGCCATATATCAGTGCCATGTATCAGTGCTGCCTTTCAGTGCCCATCAGTGATGCCTGTCAATGCCCATCAGTGCCACCTACCAGTGCTTCCTCATCAGTGCCCATCAGTGCTATCAGTGCCTATCAGTGCAGCCTATCAGTGCCCACCACTGCAGCCTCATTAGCGCATATCAGTGAAGGAGAAAAAATCACTTATTTACAAAATTTTATAACAAAAACTAAGAAAAAATGTTTTTTTTTCCAACATTTTCAGTGGTTTTTGGTTTAAGAAGAAAAAAAAACCCAGAGGTGATTAAATACCACCAAAAGAAAGCTCTATCTGTCACAAAAAAATGATAAAAATTTCATATGGGTACAGTGTTGCATGACCGCGCAATTGTCATTCAAAATGTGACAGCGCTGAAAGCTGGAAATTGGCCTGGACTGGAAGGGGGTTATAAGTGCCCGGTAGGCAAGCGGTTAAAACATCATCCTCATTACTTTCTGGACACACCTTGTACATAAACAGTATGGGTTGTATTTGCTGCATGCATGATAATGTATCAATTTTTTAGGTGTTTACGTCAATTATCGCACAGGTTAGAACTCCCGATAAGTGTGAGTTTCATTGCGGTATATCGAGGGAAGCATTTGTAGTAGACGTGCGGTTCGTTTAGTTACGGATGAAATTTTGTTTTTCGTAGACCTCCGAATGGACATAGTAATGAATGCCAACGAACCCAAAAAAAAAGTTCCATCCACAAGATGTTACCTGATGTGATATTAGTTCGGGTCCATGGGCTAATTTTCTAATTAATTCGATAATTCGGATTTGAGTAAATTTGTGATTTAAATTAAATTTGTAATTAGCTACAGTCAGTTCACTTCCTGCAATTCTTAGGTTTGAAAAACTTTTTGCATTATTTATTCTGTTGCGTCCGAAAATATTGAATCCTTCCAAATAGATTTGATATAAGAAATTTCACCTGAAATATCGAAGCCGAAAACTAATATGTAGCAATCTTCCCCCAAAAAACTGCAACATTTTTGAGAATCCACACGGAGCAACAAATATATGAAAAGAATGCCGAAGATACAAAACAAATTTCAAAAATGAATGCGTTCAACATCGTGAATATGACGAAATGAAATTCTTCAAAGAAAGAATGCATACGAAACAAAACGAATATTTCTGGCCTGCAAATGTCTACTTTCTAGTAAAATAAAAATACTGTTTTGCAGGTGTAGCACCCTCTTAGTCAGTGTAGGTTGTTGGAAAAGTTTTAGTTAACCCCTTGGCGCCGGCGCCTCCCGGACCTTTAAGGGCTTCAGAAGCTGGGAGGCGGGGCAGGGTTTTAGGGTCACGTGACCGCCGTGATTCACCGTCGCAGCGGTCACATGATTGGGAAAGGTCCTGATCGAAAGAGGAGATCGGGACCTTTCCGTGAGTACCAGAAATGTGTTTCCGTGAGTACCACATATGTTTTTCTTAAATGCACGCAAATGTGTGGCCGCTCGGCGTCTAGGCCCAGACGCCGGGAGGCTGCACATTTGCGTGTGGCCGGTGTGAAGAGGTTAAGCTGTAATCAGTGGAGTAAGGGTTGACTATTTAGGGCTGCTCAGTGCTGATCTGATTACTTTTTCCTGTATTCTAGAGGATCCTAGAATTATAGTGGGAGGAAGAACAGAAGAGGCAACCTGAATATTTATGGGGATCCAGCCAATCACTGGGGAAGTGTGCCCAGTAGGTGGTTGGAGTGCCTATAAACAGTCTGAGGCCAATAAAGCATTAAAAAGACACCCCTAGACTGTTCTATTTGAGCCAGTAGAGATGGAGAAAATTCTGTGTGCCTGGCTGTGTGTGGGGGAAGGAATCAGTTCATTAGTGGCTCTTTCAGTGGTGCGCTACAGAAGAAAACTGTGCTTTGTGAAACAATAAGGCTTTGACAGTTATAGCGCCCTGTGTTCCTTTTCGCTGGTCCTGTAGTGGCAAAGAAGGCAGGGAGAAGAAACACAGGATACAGCAGGGGAGCAGGTATTCGACACATGTGGAAGTGTTTAAACACCTGCAGCAGCCAGAGGTCTGCAAGGCAGTGCCATTATAAGACACACTCATTCATCTTAGCGAACCGTGACTAAAGGCTGGTCATATCAATCCACTGCCTACCACCATCACGGGCAGGGCTGTGGAGAAGGGGGTACACCAGTCTTCTTGTACGGGGCCCAAGCCAGAAGGGGGGCCCAGGCAGCTGGGTGAATCGGATGTGGGCAGGGAGAGTGATTAGCACAGCGAGGGGGGGGCAGTTACTGGAACCGATCCAAGGTATGGCATTTGAAAGCTGGCTTCTTCTCCTCTCTCCTTTCCCTCTCAGCTGGCTTTCAGCTGCTGCAGAGAGAGTCATAAAGGGGATCGGTTCCAGTAATTGCCCCCCTACCCCCCGTCACACCAATCACCCTTCATATGCTTCCCCCTGTTTGACCCCACCCCTGCTGTGCTGCTGGCTTCTCTCTTCTCCTTCCCAATGGCAGTTGCAAGTAAACAATAGGATCCTTCAGGATAGAGAGCAGGGGAAGGGCCCAGGAAATATCTCACATTTACCAGCCCCTTCCTTACCTGAATGAACACAATTGGTGATCTGTACCAATCACTCACTGTGTTCATTCATAACTGAAGCATAGTAAACTGCATTTTTTATGGGGGGGGGGGGGGGCTGTCAGGTTGGCTGTATGGGGCCCTGTGGTTTCTAACAGCAGCCCTGATCACGGGTAGAATTGCACAATTTAAATACATGCTGCAATCTTGTTCTATCAAATGTAATTTTTTTCAAATGTGACGCAATCCTGTATTTTATCATGTGTTTCCACAAATGTTGGGTATAAGTAAATCAATGCAGGTTTCTTTTCAGCCTAAGTGTCACTGACACCGTATTGACAGATTGCAAGTCACATACAGTATGTCAATGGAATGTGGCTGACTCTGACAGCCACCGGCATGACTCCAGAGGCAGTAGCATGATGGGATTTGTAGTTTCACCACATCTGGAGTGCCAAGGTCACCTACCCCTGCTTTAACCACTTCAAGTCCGGACACTTTCACCCCGTTCCAGTCCAGGCCAACTTATAGCTTTCAGCGCTATCACACTTTGAATGACAATTGCGCGGTCATGCAAACACTGTACCCATATGAATTTTTTAGCATTTTTTTGAGACATAAAACTTTCTTTTGGTGAGATTTTTATTTTTTTTGCGATATAAATGAAAAAGTCCAAACATTTTTTTAAAAAAAAAGTGTTTTTCTTATAAAATTTTGCAAATAAATAATATTTCTTCATAAATCTTGGTCAAAATTTATTCAGCTATCTTTTTAGTAAAAGAAAAAAACCCAAATTAGTTTATAACCAAAAATGATAATTTTTCAACAGTTTTTTTAAATTTTTATTTTATTTTTTTAATATTATTATTTATGTTATTTTTTTTTTTTTTTAACATACTGTCACCCTAGCATTACAGACAGTGAATGTGGGTGATGTTTAGAAACGTCAACCTGCTTCGGTATCACTCCGTCTGGCCGTTTATGTACATGGGCCAGACGGGGCGTGGTTAAACTTACCCTTTTTTTTAATCAGTTTAGATAAGTTTTTACAATAAGAATACAAAGTCACTACAAACAAAATTATTTGAGGACAGAAGTCAAGTGAATCCAACATGTTATAGGATAACAGTGTTGATTTACTAAAGGCAAATAGACTGTGCACTTTTCCATGCGATACAGTTGCTCTGTGTTTTGTGCTACTTTTGCTGCGGTCTGGCGTAATTTCAACCCATTGAAATGAATGGCCTGAAACCGCATTGCACACGGATAGCTTGTGCATTGCTGTGCGATTTGTCCTGTGAACTAGCCCTACCCATGCCTCAACTGTGCGAATTGCACGCAGTTGTGGGGAGCTTGCAGAGCTGCCCCATTGACTTGAATGAGTTGCGTTCTGTGGGCTCGGCAAGGCTATGCTTAGTGGCATGTGTAAAACCCCTGGTTGTTGCTTCTGCAAGCTAAAAAGAGAGCAGTAGGGGGGTGGAAAAAAAACACGGCTAGGTTTTACCGCACTACAAATGCTAGTGTGAACTAACTAAGGAAAAGGAGAAAAGGAGATGAAGTAATAGCATTTTCACTGACCACATATCCTCACCTATGAGGTCCCCTCCACCTATCTTCACCTATGAGGTCCCCTCCACCTATCTTCACCTATGAGGTCCCCTCCACCTCCTCACCTATGAGTTCCCCTCCACCTATCTTCACCTATGAGGTCCCCTCCACCTCCTCACCTATGAGGTTCCCTCCACCTATCTTCACCTATGAGGTCCCCTCCACCTCCTCACCTATGAGGTCCCATCCACCTATCTTCACCTATGAGGTCCCCTCCACCTATCTTCACCTATGAGGTCCCCTCCACCTCCTCACCTATGAGTTCCCCTCCACCTATCTTCACCTATGAGGTCCCCTCCACCTCTTCACCTATGAGGTCCCCTCCACCTATCTTCACCTATGAGGTCCCCTCCAACTATCTTCACCTATGAGGTCCCCTCCAACTATCTTCACCTATGAGGTCCCCTCCACCTCCTCACCTATGAGGTCCCCTCCACCTATCTTCACCTATGAGGTCCCCTCCACCTATCTTCACCTATGAGGTCCCCTCCAACTATCTTCACCTATGAGGTCCCCTCCAACTATCTTCACCTATGAGGTCCCCTCCACCTCCTCACCTATGAGGTCCCCTCCACCTATCTTCACCTATGAGGTCCCCCCCAACACTGAGCTCACCTCGATGGATTAATTCTTTGGACATAGAAAGATCTTCAGAAAGAACCTCAAAATGTGTGGTCCCTCCCATACCATATACATAACATCACCAACTTCAGCTTCACATGTACGACACGTGGGTGAGTCCACTCTACCCATGCTGTGTGGTTTATGGGGGGGTTTAGCATATCCTATGCAAATATTTCAACTAAATTACTTTTATTTCTAGAGGAAATAACTATATTTAGATAGAATTTAGGAGTATCTCCCATGACTTACCTGTATTTAATAATCCATCTCCAGATGTCTCAACATGAATCACATTTGCACAGGACCTCCTTCCTCCTCTTCTGACCCTCACAACTTCTCTCCATTCATGACCCTTCTTCCACCTTAAATCAAAAGCCTTGCATTCAGCCCCCGAAACGGACCCCTCGCTTTATTCATTCCCGTGGTCTTGTAGCTATTTGCTGCTTACCTTTTTTTCACGTACTTGATCAGTTTCTGTCTTCTACCCCCACTTATGACGAAAAGTGAAACTGATACTTACGTTTGCAATTTGCTTTCGGTTTCCATCTTCGCATGTTCTTAGTTCTCTGCACAGTAAAAAAAAAAAGCAGTGAATTATAGTATGCAGCACAGTGATCTGTTTTTTTTGTTTTTTTTTTTTTTAAAGTGTCACACACTAAATAAAAATACAAAAGGAAAAAAAAAGATATATTTTTACCTTTTTGGTGGGTACCTAGGTAAATTTTTCCCTTTTATCATGAGTTTCAGGCTGCTCTGCTATCTGACTCTTACTCTATCCTTTAAATAAATCTTATATAAACTGCCTGAATTTGACTTGCGTCCTCTATTCAGTACAGCAGCACTTACACTGGGAGAGGGTGAGGCATTAAATAGGGCCAATTAGGGCTCCTAAATTCGGATGGACTGACAAGGATCGTACCGACAAGAGGAGAGAGTAGAGAGATGACATCATTAGACTGCTGATACTCCTTTACTGTCCAATCAGAGGCTGTGGGTGGAAAGGTGACCAGGCTATGTTCGTCCAAACGAAACTCCAGATTGGAACACAACAATACCCTTGTACTGCAAGGGTTACACGCTCATCACTTTTAGGAAGTAGAGGAACAGGCAGTATTACTATTCCCCATTCCAGAAGGCTCCAGCGCTGTCCTCTTCTCCCCCATGCTCTGGTCTGTGGGCAGTCCCTCAGTGTCATCATGTACAATGCAAGGCTATTACCCTGCATTGTAAGTGGAGGAGGCGAGTGTGCAACCATGGCTGGGAGCAGCTTAGAGAGGAGGAGGCAGAGCTGGACCAGTCATACAGATATAGAGAGCCTGCTGGAGTGCGGAATTACCATTGCAGTGCACGGGAGTTTTTATGTTCCAGCCTGAAAGTGTTACTAAACCCACAACAGTACAATCCAGGGGCGGACTGACCATTTGGAAACTCAGGCACTGCCCGAGGGCCTGGGGTCAGTAGGGGGCCCCATGAGATGCCCCTGGTACCTTTTTCATAGGCTTTTTTAAGTTTGGGCAAGGACACAGGGGCCCCATGATCCCCTATTGCCCGGGGGCCCCATGAGTTGTCAGTCCGCCCCTGGTACAATCAGTATGTATATGCAGTAAAGCGTGCTTGTTATACTCACTGTGGACCCTAAGGGGTTAATCTTCCGCACTGTGTAAAAAGGCTGTTTGATACTGTCTTCTCTTCCCCTCCTCTTGTTGAAATGACCACCTGATACAGACTAAATCTGTAGTCACCTGCACATGCTCAGTTTGGTGTGTATTGCTAGAGAGTTTTTTTTTTCTTGGGAGAGTGCATGTGATTAGTACAGGGCCAATCAGCACTGTCCAGACAGAGGGTCAGGGGTTTCACATCCTCCTAGAGCAGAAAGAAAACTCTTCCTACAAACTTTAACTAGTGCTCTGCTGGACACTGATAGAAGGGCTTCAGCCCACAGGAGTTGAACCAACTGCACTCCTGTGATCCACACTAGAAGTACAGCCAAAAGAGCTTTGGCTGTGCTTCTCCTTTAAGCTTTAACAGCAACAAAGAAAGGTTAGTTTTCCCAGGTTGCCTGGGCTGTGTGGTAGGGTTATGTAACTGCCAGGATTGAACTGGCAGACGTACTAATTCTTCTTTGGCAGGTAGCTGACAAAGAGGGAAAAACCAATGAATTAGGACTTTCTATGTGCAAGTCATTAAATAAAGATGCACGTTGAATAAACCAGCCAGGGCAATAAATGAGCTTTTTCTTTAACAAACATTTATTTTGCCCAAAGGGGCAAATAAGACAAATAAAATCACTGAAAAACTCAGTAAGAGTTGCAGAACAGAGACTGGTACATTAAAATTCACCCTAGAGCAGCCTTTCTCAACCACGGTGTCTTGAGGTTTCTTCAGGGGTGCCTTAGCAAAATGTCTAAAAATTGCCAAAAACTTGCATACAAGCCAGTGGGTGGAACAATCCTGCCTTTTAGTTACACAGTCACAGGATTTCATTGTGCGCCATTATGACCTTCTAGCCGCCTGCGTCCTGACAGCCAATGACATCATCAGTTGATAAGGAGGTTGTCAGCCACCTGCACAGCATCGTAATTTGACCCTCCCCTGCCCCTCTCTGTCAGTGCTGGGGTCACATTGTCTCAGTGATGGAGAATTGAGGGAGAAGAGAAACATTGGAATACTAGTCAGTACCAGTGTGCAGAAGTGTATTTGCTTTGGAAGAATAAATCCCCTCTAATGTTGGGTGTCCTACATGTGTGGATGTTGCGGCGTTATAGAAAACTAGTAGAATAGTTTTTCACATGGGGTGCCTCAGGACTGTCCATCATTTTAAAGGGTGCCTCGGGACTGTCCATCATTTTAAAGGGTGCTTCAGGACTGTCCATCATTTTAAAGGGTGCCTCGGGACTGTCCATCATTTTAAAGGGTGCTTCAGGACTGTCCATCAATTTAAAGGGTGCCTCGGGACTGTCCATCATTTTAAAGGGTGCCACGGGAATGTCCATCATTTTAAAGGGTGCCTCGGGACTGTCCATCATTTTATAGGGTGCCTCGGGAATGTCCATCATTTTAAAGGGTGCCTCGGGACAGTCCATCATTTTAAAGGGTGCCTCGGGACTGTCCATCATTTTAAAGGGTGCCTCGGGACTGTCCATCATTTTAAAGGGTGCCTCGGGACTGTCCATCATTTTAAAGGGTGCCTTGGGACTGTCCATCATTTTAAAGGGTGCCTCGGGACTGTCCATCATTTTAAAGGGTTCCTTGATCGAAAAAAGGTTGAGAAACACTGCTCTAGAGAATTAGAACAGAAACAAGAGCATATAACACATATCACACCACATACAGTATATTGCCTAGAGATACACGCCCAGAATAACATACAAGTTTAGCAAAGGTGCAAAGTTATTCAGCATCCCAAAAAAAAAATGTTCATATCTGGAGGTAAAGGCATTTTTTTGCGATACAGCGCTGCGTTACTTTAACTGGCAATTCCGCGGTCATGCAATGTTTTACGTAAACGAAATTTATGTCCTTTTTGTCCCACAAATAGAGCTTTCTTTTGGTGGTATTTGATCACCTGTGCGGTTTTAATTTTTTGCACTGTAAACAAAAAAACACTGACAATTTTGAAGAAAGAAACTATATTTTTTGACTTTTTGCTATAACACATATCCAGTAAAAAAAAAAAAACTAATCTCGTCATAAATTTAGGCCAAAATGTATTCTGCTTCATGTCTTTGCTAACAAAAAATCCCAATACGTGTAAATTATCTCTGAAATTGTAAGCTCCCAGGATCAGGGCCCTCCTAACCCTCTTGTATTGAACTGTATTGTTGCTGTATTGTCTCCCGTTATATTGTAAAGCGCTGAGCAAACTGTTGGCGCCATAAATCCTGTATAATAGTAATAATAATTTGGTTTATGTTAAAGTTATAGCGCTTACAAATGGTGGTATAGATACTGGAATTTTTTATACTAGTAATGGCGACAATCAGACACTTATAGCGAGACTGCGGCGGGCATTCTGACACTGTGGAGAAACTGACTAATTGCCACTGACATCCCAGTGACACCAATACAGTGATCAGTGCTAATAAAAAGCACTGACACTGTACTAATGACACTGGGCAGGAAGGGGTTAACATCTGGGGTGATCAAAGGGTTAACTGTGTGATGTGCGCTTTACTATGTAAGCATGCTGCTTTGTATTGTTCTGCCATGCAGAGACATAGAAAGCAGCATGCTGGTGCTGACAGGGGAGAGATCTGTATTGTTTACATACACACCTCTCCCCCATTTAGCTGATGCAGTATCCTAAAATGGCTCCGGAGCGCCGCTTGGTTTGCGTGCGCTCTACTCATCGGACGTGACGTCACTCCAGTTGACCGGAAATTGCGTCAATGCGTTTCGCCCCTCCTACAGGGCAACCTCACAAGACTCGAAATGAGGACCCCAGTGCTGCAAGGCAGAAGGGCTAGCCATTAGGCCACTGTGCCAATGAATTAAGCTGTCCAAGCTCTTATGATTCTGTTTCCTTGTTTTCTGTTTTGTATTTTTTTTTTTGTGCTTTTGCACTAGACTGTATAGTAAAATAAAAGCTTTACTGGTTTTTTTTTTTTTTACTTTGATTTTTTTTATCTGTAGACCTTTGTCATGTCTTCATAGAAACAACAGCTCCTGGCACTGCTTCACACAGAAGTCAGATAAGCAAAAACATAAGTACTTTCCGACATCTGGTGGAAGAAGATGTGTGCCAACGTCATATTTCAGAGTATGAGAATTTAGAAAGTGAACAAGGAAGAAAATCCACACCTACCCATCTAGTTGTGTTTAACCGCGGCAAGTCATTGCAAGCCGACCCACAGCCTTTTTTTTTTTTTTTTTTTAAGGTCAGTTAACATTAAATATATTATTATAATTTAATAATAATATGGCATTACATCAATGATCTTTTAATCTTTCTGTAAGGGGTAGCATTCTAACCACCACTGTGAGGGGGTATTCTTCCCACTGACCCCCAATGTAAGGGACATTCTTCCCAATGATCACCAATGTAAGGGACATTCTTCCCAATGATCACCAATGTAAGGGACATTCTTCCCACTGACCACCAATGTAAGAGACATTCTTCTCACTGACCTCCAATGTAAGGGGCATTCTTCCAACTGACCTCCAATGTAAGGGACATTCATCCCACTGATCACCAATGTAAGGGACATTCTTCCCACTGACCACCAATGTAAGGGACATTCTTCCCACTGACCACCAATGTAAGGGACATTCTTCCCACTGACCACCAATGTAAGGGACATTCTTCCCACTGACCACCAATGTAAGGGACATTCTTCCCACTGACCACCAATGTGAGGAGCATTCTTCCCACTGACCACCAATGTAAGGAGCATTTTTCCCACTGACCACCAATGTAAGGAGCATTCTTCCCAATGACCACCAATGTACGGAGCATTCTTCCCACTGCTCACCAATGTAAGGAGCATTCTTCCCACTGACCGCCAATGTAAGGGACATTCTTCTCACTGACCTCCAATGTAAGGGACATTCTTTCTCACTGACCGCCAATGTAAGGGACATTCTTCCCACTGACCTCCAATGTAAGGGACATTCTTCCCACTGACCTCCAATGTAAGGGGCATTCTTCTCACTGACCGCCAATGTAAGGAACATTCTTCCCACTGACCTCCAATGTAAGGGACATTCTTTCCCACTGATCACCAATGTAAGGGACATTCTTCCCACTGATCACCAATGTAAGGGACATTCTTCCCACTGACCACCAATGTAAGGGACATTCTTCCCACTGACCCCCCAATGTAAGGGACATTCTTCCCACTGACCACCAATGTAAGGGACATTCTTCCCACTGACCACCAATGTAAGGGGCATTCTTCCAACTGACCTCCAATGTAAGGGACATTCATCCCACTGATCACCAATGTAAGGGACATTCTTCCCACTGACCACCAATGTAAGGGACATTCTTCCCACTGACCACCAATGTAAGGGACATTCTCCCACTGACCACCAATATAATGGACATTCTTCCCACTGACCACCAATGTGAGGAGCATTCTTCCCACTGACCACCAATGTGAGGAGCATTCTTCCCACTGACCACCAATGTAAGGGACATTCTTCCCAATGACCACCAATGTACGGAGCATTCTTCCCACTGCTCACCAATGTAAGGAGCATTCTTCCCACTGACCACCAATGTAAGGGACATTCTTCTCACTGACCTCCAATGTAAGGGACATTCTTCTCACTGACCGCCAATGTAAGGAACATTCTTCCCACTGACCGCCAATGTAAGGGACATTCTTCCCACTGACCTCCAATGTAAGGGACATTCTTCCAACTGATCACCAAAGTAAGGGACATTCTTCCCACTGACCCCCCAATGTAAGGGACATTCTTCCCACTGACCACCAATGTAAGGGACATTCTTCCCACTGATCACCAATGTAAGGGGCATTCTTCCCACTGATCACCAAAGTAAGGGACATTCTTCCCACTGACCCCCCAATGTAAGGGACATTCTTCCCACTGATCACCAATGTAAGGGACATTCTTCTCACTGGCCTCCAATGTAAGGGACGTTCTTCCCACTGACCACCAATATAAGGGACATTCTTCCCACTGACCCCCCAATGTAAGGGACATTCTTCCCACTGACCACCAATGTAAGGGACATTCTTCCCACTGATCACCAATGTAAGGGACATTCTTCCCACTGACCCCCAATGTAAGGGACATTCTTCCCACTGACCCCCCAATGTAAGGGACATTCTTCCCACTGACCCCCCAATGTAAGGGACATTCTTCCCACTGACCTCCAATGTAAGGGGCATTCTTCCTCTAAATCTGGACTACAAGAAATGGATAGAGAGAGATCTGTCTGTCTGTAGTACCACAATCAGCTGTGGTTGAACCGCACACCCAATGGATAGGTTGAATGAATATAATTAATATTTTTGTATAATTAAACTTTTATTACTTTGTTATTGGAACACAGTTAACATTAAAATATTATTATAAACAACAACTATAACAGTCATATTGTCATTATTTGTTTTTTTTATGTTACAGAATACACACCGATTTTCCCTTCCCACCCACAAACAACACTGCCAAAGGCAGCCCAAGCCTTCTCCACTTGTATACCAACCAACATAATGGAGGCTCCTTCCCGGCGACAATTCCACAGCAGAGACGCATTTCCGGCGCCGCTCCAATCATGAACGCGCGTCCAGGCGGTGGGCTGGGCTTTTGTTTCCATAGCAGCCGCCCAGCACGCTAACGCACGGGCTTGTGTTTGTATGAGGGGTGGGAGGGGGAGCCCGGGAGGAGACATGTCCAAGGGGAAGGTGAGCTGAGCTTCTGTGCTGTCCGCCGATAACAGGGGGGAGCTCGGGATCGTCTGCTACTGCCTGGGCAGAGAGAGCCTGAGCAAGTCACATGACTCCGACCGACCTGTACCTGGTCACATGACCCTGACCGACCTGGACCTGGTCACATGACCCTGACCGACCTGGACCTGGTCACATGACTCTGACTGACCTGGACCTGGTCACATGACCCTGACTGACCTGTACCTGGTCACATGACCAGCCATTGGCCTGGGTCTGGTATGGGCTTTCCTGCAAGGATCCTGTGATGACTAACATCCTTCATTATCACTCATCCCATACAGGGCTCGGACTACAAAACATACACACACCCCATGGTCCACGGGCGTGACGATGGGTTTTTGCGTGAAATCAGAAGTGATGTATATTCCTAACAGCGAATGAGGAAAGTGAGGCTTCCCCCCCCCCCCCCTGTTAGCTGGGTGTCTCATCACACAGCGGAAGCAAAAGAATGTGACATCGCTTCCGCTTGCACCGCCAAACACGTCATCACTTTCACACCCGCAATCGTGGAGTGTTTCCATAGTTGTGTCCAAGCCCTGTATATAAATGCGGACCGTAGTATATATATCGGGTTAGCAGTGATGGACCTGGACCCGGATAAGTTATTGCGGTGAATTGGTAGGTGCCTGCAGATTGTTAGAAGCAATATTCTCAGCGGATTCTTCCAGGTGACAACATATACGAAGGTCACGCATCTCTGAAACGAGGTTGTCACAGTAATCTATTTAATAAGGAAAGGGTCCAAGGCTTTAACGCCAGGCAACATTTTATTTCAAGTTATGGATAACATGGGGAAGGGTTGGGGGGGGGGGGCGTTGCTGTCTGTTACCCCCCCCCCCATTGTGAGATTTCCCCTCACTTCCTGTCCCAGTGACCACATGTGAAGTCAGGAAAACCTTAATTATTGGATTCGTTCTCCTTCCATGATTATGTCCTCCTCCCGTTGTCTTACTTCTTCCTTTCCTCTTTCCCCCTTTTTCTTTCCTTTTCTCCCCCGCCCCCTTCTTCTTCCTATCCTTTTCCCTTTCCCTCTTCCATTCCCCTTCCTTTTCTTGTTTCTTTCCTTTTTCCCTCTTCCATTCCCTTTTCCCCTTCCTTTCTTCGTTTTCCTTTTTCTTCCTTCTTTTCTCTCTTCCTTTCCTCTTTTTCTCCCTCTTCCTTTTCTTTTCCCCTTTTAGTTTTTTTCTCCTCTTTCCCTTCCCTCTTCCTTGTTTTTTTTTTTTTCTCCTCCTTTCTTTGTTCATGTTTGCTTTCTTTTCCCTCTTCCTTCCCCCTTTTTTGCCCTTTTTTTTCACCTTCCCTGCTTTCTTCTTTTTTTTTTCCCTTTTCCCCTTCTTTATTTCTTCACTTCCCTTTTCTCTTAATTCTTCTTTCTTTCTTTTCCCCTTCCTGTCCTCCTTCCATTCCTCTTCCACCTTACTTTCTTCTTTGTTTTCCTTTTTCTTTGTTCATTTCTCGCTTTCGTTCCTCTTTTTTCCCTCTTACCCCCCCCCCCCCCTTTCTTTTAGTTTTTTTTCTCCTCTTTCCCCCTCCGTTTCCTTTTTTTCTCCTTTCCTTTTTCATGTTTGATTTCTTTTCCCTCTTCTTCCTTTCCCCCCCCCTTTTTCTTTGCACCTTTTTCCACCTTCATTCCTTTCTTTTTTTTTTCCCTTTTCCCCTCCTTCTTTCTTCATTTCCCTTAATTTCTTCTTCCTTTCCTTTTTTCCCCCTTTTTTTTTCTTTCCTGTTCCTCCCCCCCTTCTTCTTCCTATCCTTTTCCCTTTCCCTCTTTCTATCCTTTTCTTTTCTTTTCTTCTTTCTTTCCTTTTCCCTCTTCCATTCCCCTTCCCCCTTCCTTTCTTCATCTCCTTTTTCTTTGTTCTTTTCTCTCTTCCTTTCCTCTTTTTTCCCTCCCTCTCCTTTTCTTTTCCCCTTTTCTTTTAGTTTTTTTCTGCTCTTTCCCCCTCCCTCTTCCTTTTTTTTTTCTCTTTTTTCCTATTTTCCTTGTTCATGTTTGCTTTCTTTTCCCTCTTCTTTCCTCCTTTTTTTTGCATCTTTTTTCACCTTCCCTCCTTTCTTCTTTTTTTTCCCCCTTCTTTTTTTCTTTACTTTCCTTTTCCCTTGATTTCTTATTTCTTTCTTTTCCTTCCTTTCTTCTTTCATTCCACCTTCATTTCCACCTTCTTTTTTTCTTTCTTTGTTATTTTCCTCTTTCTTTCCTCTTTTTTCCCTCTTAATTTTTCCCCCCTTTTCTTTTAGTTTTTTTTTCTCCTCTTTCCTTTCCCCCTCCCTCTTCTTTTTCTCTCCTCCTTTCCTTGTTCATGTTTCTTTCTTTTCCCTTTTCTTTCCTCCTTTTTTTGCGTATTTTTTCCACCTTCCCTCCTTTCTTTTTTTTTTTTTCCCCCCTTTTTCCCTCCTTTTTTCTTCATTTCGCTTTTCCCTTAATTTCTTCTTCCTTTCTTCTTCCTTTCCCTTTTCACTTCCTTTCTTTGTTCTTTTCCCTCCTCCTTTCTTTTTTCTCTTTTCCCTCTTCCTTTCCTCTTTCTTTTTTTTTCCTCTTACTTTTCTTTTTTCTCTCTTTTTATTTTTTGTCTCTTCTTTTCCCTTACCTCTTTTCTTCTTTTTCTCTCTTCCTTTCCTTTGTTCATGCTTGCCTTCTTTTCCTTCTTCCTCCTTTCCTTTTTGCATCTTTTTTCCACTTTCCCCTTTCCATCTCTTTCCCTTTTCCTCCCTTCCATTCCTTTTTCCCCTCTTCTTTTCCTTCTCCCTCTGTTTGATTCTTCCTTTCTCTTTCCACTTCCCCTTCATATCTTCTTTCTTTCCTTTTCTTTCATCCCCCTTCCTTTCTTCTTTTTTCCCTCCCCCTTTTTTTTCTTTCTTTTCCTTTTTCCTTTGCTTTTCCATGTTTATTTTGCTTTCCCTCTCGTTTTCCCATTCTCTATTTTTCCCATTCCCCCCTCTTTCCCTTTCCTCCTCCCTTTTCTTTCCTTTTTTCCCTGTCTATGACTTTTTCCCCTTCCATTCCTTTTAATATTCTTTTCCCCTTCCCACTTCTTTAATTTTTTCCTTCTTTCATTCTTTTTCCTCTTCGTTTTCTTTTCCCTCTTCAATTGCTCTTTTTTTCCTGTTTGGTTTCTGTTTCCCTGTTCCTTTTGTTTGTATTTCTTCCTGTTCTTTCCTCCAATTTTTTGCCTTTTCTTTTTCCTTGGTCTTTCTTTTTCCTTGCCTCATCACTTACTGCTGTTTTTTGCATCAGGTTGTTGCAGCCAGAGCCCAGTATGGATATCAGCGTTCCAAGGATCGGTAAGGAGGAATACATCATGTGATATTCTTAGAGTTGGGACTTGGAGATCACTCACATGCCCTCATTGTGTTTTGTATCAGGGAACCCCGATCCTGCATCCGGTACAAGTGTGCACTCATTAACACCATTACAGATGTGCTGAGGCAGCGGCCAGGTTGGACGGAAGTGAAGGAGTGAGTTTTTTTTTTTTTTTTTTTAGTTTTTAGTTTTTTTATTGGAAACTTTCTTTTAACTAAATCAAAAAACAGACAGTTTTATTCAGCTTTGGGCATTGTGTAGAAATAAGTTTTCTTCCTTACCCTTAAGTAGCTACTTGTAATGCTTATTTTTGTTCACTCGATTTTTACAATTTGTCTGTTTGATGCATAATGTTCAATGCACATTAAATTATGTAATAAGTATTTATAATTTCCACTCAAAAATATTTCTCCAGCGATGGCGAATGGGACTTTTATTGGTGTGATGTCGGTTGGCTGCGGGAGAACTTCGACCATATTTACATGGAGGAACATGTACGCATCTGTCACTTTCGCAACCACTATGAGGTGACTGTCCTTTTTCTACACTTGGGATTTTAAAGGATGGGGCTATTAGCAATACGGAGCAACCATTCGGATTGCAGGTGCTGTTTTTCCAGAGCTGATAGGTCATTGCTGCCTTGTCATGTAATCACCATCACCTTGCGGTCTGTAGTTTTCCTGCGTAACCGGTGTACCAACATGGCAGTGCCCTACAGATTAACCCCACCTCCTGCGAATGCACCATGTGCTTAGAGTCAGCCGCTTAATGACAAACGGATGGGTCACAAAGTGGACCTGTCCAAATGGCATTTTTTGGTGCAAAAAATCATTAGAGGGGGCTGACTCCAGTCACGGCGCATGGCGCCACAGCCACTTGAGCCTCCGGATGTTTTTTTGGCAGCTGAATCCGAATGGGGACAATATCTGGATATGACAGTGTCATTGTGAGAAAGCTGATACTGCGGACATGGTGATGATTGGAGAGGACAGAGGATGTGATGATTGGAGAGGAAAGGACAGAGGATGTGATGATTGGAAGAGAAACAGAGGATGTGATGATTGGAGAGGACAGAGGATGTGATGATTGGAGAGGACAGAGGATGTGATGATTGGAGAGGACAGAGGATGTGATGATTGGAGAGGACAGAGGATGTGATGATTGGAGAGGACAGAGGATGTGATGATTGGAGAGGACAGAGGATGTGATGATTGGATAGGACAAAGGATGTGATGATTGGAGAGGACAGAGGATGTGATGATTGATGATGATTGGAGAGGACAGAGGATGTGATGATTGGAGAGGACAGAGGATGTGATGATTGGAGAGGACAGAGGATGTGATGATTGGAGAGGACAGATGTGATGATGGTGATGTGATGATTGGAGAGGACAGGACAGGATGTGATGATTGGAGAGGACAGAGGATGTGATGATTGGAGAGGACAGAGGATGTGATGATTGGAGAGGACAGAGGATGGATGATTGGAGAGGACAGAGTGATGATTGGAGAGGACAGAGGATGTGATGATTGGAGGGACTCACAGTGACCCTGGTACCAGTTCCACCTTTGTTGGACATTGAGGGACCCCAAAGAGAGACTCCCATCCACATTGATTATAATGGAAGATAGAACATTGGAGGTGATGAGCTCCACTCCCGACATCTCACCACCAGGACCCGCTTTTATTTTCAAGATTAAAATTGTTATTTCCCTTTCAGAGATCTGTAGGTCATGGATTAAAGACGAAAGCCCATTAAAATCCATTCCTGTTGCTTTTTTTCTCCAGCTGACCCGCAAAAACTTTATGGTAAAAAATCTGAAACGTTTCCGGAAGCTTCTCGAGAGGGAGTCCGGGAGGCTGGAAGCAGCAAAATGTGACTTCTATCCGAAGACATTCGAGCTGCCCTCGGAATATCACTTGTTTGTTGAGGAATTTCGAAAAAATCCTGGAATCACCTGGATCATGAAGCCTGTAAGTAGGTGGTTTTAATGGCAATGCAGGCAATTTCTCTGAAAATGGAAATGATTGCAGCTGCCGTATCTGAGGACTGGAATACAATATATGACATTTTTGTTATCTTGCTTTAGATACAGTTAGAGATAAAGTGCGTGATTTTCCTGACAACAAGCACAGTTGCATCGTATGATAGTTAAAGGGTAAGTTCACCTTTGGGAATATGTTACATGTTCCACTTGTTTTTAAAGTGGAACATGTAACATGTTTCTAATGCTGCAGCTGCTCCCTGATTCCCCCCAGTGACAACAGTACGGGGAGGAGTTCCCTGTGTTAGCTGCCAGTTTTTGAGATCAGTGCAGCCATGCGGGGGTTCTGCCCACACGACAGGGTTCTTCATTCAGAGTTCTGTGAATGAATAAACTTCAAGTCCCAACAGCCCTAGCGGCTGTCGGCTTGTAGTTCCCAATGATCTACCATGGCGCTGAGGTCATTCATTGATTCTTCCTGTCATGTCAGTCTGTCTGTTTGTCTGTACGTCCCCTATGGACAAGCAGATATACTGACAGTCTGCAGGAGACCTGCATGGCACCAGCAATCTACCGATCACTGGTGCAATGCTTTACAGGCTGCTGCAACAAACAATAAATGTACAATTTTTTACCTGCAAAAAAAATATGCATTTATTATTTTTTGTCAAAAGGTGAACTTATCCTTTAATTGTAGCAGTTCCCTGATTGGTTTAATTTTTTGCTTGAATTTACAATTTCATTTGAGATTTCAGTATTCTCTATTTTTTTTTTTTTTTAATTTCTTGATGTTCAGATTGCTGTTTTTTTTTTTTAATTACTTTTTCCTGCAGGTAGCGAGGTCACAGGGGAAGGGGATTTTCCTGTTCAGGAAGCTGAAGGACATTATGGACTGGAGGAAGGTACTGGTACTGTTAAGGACCTCAGCCTATTTCATGATAAGGGTGAAGTGACGTCTTAGTTTGGATAATGACATGCATAAACTTTGTTCTTTTTTGTCAGGACGGGAGTCGTGCTGATGACCAGAAAGATGAAATCCCAGTTGAAAATTATGTCGCACAGCGTTATATAGAAAATCCATATTTAATCGGAGGTGAGAAAAGCTAAAGATTTATTTGTTGTTTGATATGGTCATGTTTCCTTGTGTTCACAATGGAACAACATACTAGCTACTGAAGAGGTACCATCTGAGGGGAAAAAAAAGAAAAGGCAGTATTTGGGCTAATTGTGGGTGTATTCATATGCCTTTTAAGCAGAAATTAAAAAAATATACAGTGTTGAATATATATACAGTGTTGTTTCTATTCACAGGAAGAAAATTTGATCTTCGTGTTTATGTTCTTGTTACTTCGGTGAGATACATTTGGTGTTGGATTTGTATTTTTTGCTTTTGTATTAGTGGTATTGCTTTGGTATTAGTTTTTCAGTGCTCATGTCTAAATACTTGTCATTTACTGTACGTCAGGTGAATGTGTCATTCCTTTCTATCTTCCTCTGCTTATTCCTGCTCTAATCTCATGATTTGGCCTCTCTCGTGCCTGCTCTATTCTCACATGGCTTGGCCTCTCTCCTGCCTGCTCTCATCTCGCATGGTTTGGCCTCTCTCGTGCCTGCTCTAATCTCGCATGGTTTGGCCTCTCTCGTGCCTGCTCTAATCTCACATGGCTTGGCCTCTCTCATGCCTGCTCTAATCTCACATGGCTTGGCCTCTCTCATGCCTGCTCTAATCTCACATGGCTTGGCCTCTCTCATGCCTGCTCTAATCTCTCGCATGGCTTCGGCCTCTCTCCTGCCTGCTCTCTAATCTCGCATGGTTTGGCCTCTCTCGTGCCTGCTCTCATCTCGCATGGTTTGGCCTCTCTCGTGCCTGCTCTAATCTCGCATGGTTTGGCCTCTCTCGTGCCTGCTCTCATCTCGAATGGTTTGGCCTCTCTCGTGCCTGCTCTAATCTCGCATGGTTTGGCCTCTCTCGTGCCTGCTCTAATCTCGCATGGTTTGGCCTCTCTCGTGCCTGCTCTAATCTCGCATGGTTTGGCCTCTCTCGTGCCTGCTCTAATCTCGCATGGTTTGGCCTCTCTCGTGCCTGCTCTAATCTCGCCTGGTTTGGCCTCTCTACAAATGATTTCAGGCAGGTCTTTGGCAAGAGCTGCCCATAAATAAGAGATAAGGGTCCTAGCCCTGTGCTGCCTTGTAGGCATCAGAAAGGTGACTTCCTCCTCTTCCATTCATGTTTGATCTGTAGTCCATTATCCACTGCTCATGTCTGGCCTGCTATGTCCCCCCCCCTCTATATATGCAACTTTAGATCAGTAGACCTCTCATCCATTGGTTATTCCTTTACTATGAATGTATGATCTATTCTTGGTCATCCCTTGGACATATCTGATGTCACCTTGTATTCAGTTTGGTATACCTTGCACTTTTCTTTCTTTTTTACCCCCCCAGCATCGTATACTAAACTTGTCGCCTTTTTCTACCTGTTTGTTTGAAATGCAGTCATACTATGTTGTATTCATCTTACTAGTTCTTTTTTAATCTGCTTCTGTCATTGCAGTACATACCTCTGCGAGCTTGGCTGTACCGGGATGGCTTTGCTCGGTTTTCCAACACCCGTTTCACTCTAAGCAGCATCGATGACCAGTGTATCCTTTCTATAATTGTAACTGTAAACTGTCTTCCCACCAAATGCCATTTTAATGGCATACATATTGTAATGCTAGCGGCAGAAATAAAACAGAACTTTAGGCACAGCGCTAAATACAGGGTTTAACCAGTTCTGCGGCGCCCTATAGCAGAAATACTGCTTCAGGGCGGTACGGGTGTGCAAAATCCCATGTGTGTATGTATGTATGTGTGTGTGTATATATATATATATATATATATATATATATATATATATATATATATATATATATACAGTTGTGGCCAAAATTATTCAACCCCCAATGCTGTAAAGGGGTTTAGGGACTATAGTGTACATTTGGAATTGTATTCAGAATCAAATCCTACAAGGACGTTGTAACTACCCAAATGCAACTAAAATGACATCAATTGTTTATGTAATACAGTAGTAAATGGTTCTTATGTGGTTTCTTCATTGCCACAATTATTCAACCCCTTAAAGACTACCACTCTGAAGAACAGAGGTTCATACAGGTGCTTTCCATCAGGTATTGAAAACACCTGTGGATGTCACCGAGCAGCAATCAAGCATAATAAGCACCAATTAGGCAGCTTTAAAATGACTGTGATACTCAGCTCCTTCTAGACATTTACTGGTGTGGTTACAAACATGGTGAAGGCAAGAGAATGGTCCAGGAAGACAAGAGAAGAGGTGATTTCTCTTCACAGGAAGGGCAATGGCTATAAGAAGATTGCAAAGATGTTAAACATACCAAGAGACACCTTAGGAAGCATCATTCGCAAATTCAAGGCAAAGGGCACTGTTGAAACGCTACCTGGTCGTGGCAGAAAGAAGATGCTGACTTCGACTGCTGTGCGCTACCTGAAGCGTAGAGTGGAGAGAAGTCCCCGTGTGACTGCTGAGGAACTGAGAAAAGATTTGTCAGATGTGGGTACAGAAGTTTCAGCCCAGACAATAAGACGCACACTGCGTAATGAAGGCCTCCGTGCCAGAACTCCCAGGCGTACCCCCTTGCTGTCTCCAAAGAATAAGAAGAGTCGACTGCAGTATGCCAAAAGCCATGTGGACAAACCACAAAAGTTGTGGGATAGTGTTCTGTGGACTGATGAAACAAAATTAGAACTGTTTGGGCCCATGGATCAACGCTATGTTTGGAGGAGGAAGAACAAGGCCTATGATGAAAAGAACACCTTGCCTACTGTGAAGCATGGTGGAGGGTCAATCATGCTTTGGGGCTGTTTTGCTTCTGCAGGTACAGGGAAGCTTCAGCGTGTGCAAGGTACCATGAATTCTCTTCAGTACCAGGAGATATTGGATGGAAACGTGATGCAGTCCGTCACACACCTGAGGCTTGGGAGACGTTGGACCTTTCAACAGGACAATGATCCCAAGCATACCTCCAAGTCCACTAGAGCATGGTTGCAGAGGAAAGGCTGGAACATTTTGGAGTGGCCATCGCAGTCACCAGACTTAAATCCGATTGAGAACCTCTGGTGGGACTTAAAGAAAGCAGTTGCAGTGCGCAAGCCTAAGAATGTGACTGAACTGGAGGCCTTTGCCATGAAGAATGGGCGAAGATACCCGTAGATCGCTGCAAGACACTTGTGTCAAGCTATGCTTCACGTTTAAAAGCTGTTATAACTGTAAAAGGATGCTGTACTAAGTACTAAGATTGAATGTCACTTGGGGGTTGAATAAAACTGATAATGCTGTGAGCACAGAAAAGACATTTGTGGTTATTTCATTATAACTGTTATGTTATATTTGTCTGACCTACAAGTGCCTCTTTAATGTAAATGTAAGCAAGATGACTGAATGATCAAAAGCAATGTCAAACTGGCCAAAACACTCAATTTCAGTGGGGGTTGAATAATTTTGGCCACAACTGTATATATGATTTTGCAGTTCCAGGTAGGGGGCGTGCATGCCCTACCCGCACCGCCATTCGCCGCCTTGGCTGTCGATCACCGGGTCCCAGCCAGTGATTACTCGCTGGTGCCCTGTGATTGCCGAGTATCTCCGACTAGGGAGAGACCTGTATGTAAACAATACAGATCTCGCCCGTCAGCTCCTGCACACTGCTTTGTATGGCTCTGCATTACAAAGTCAGAAGTAGGGCTGACTTATAATCTGCATGCTTGCTGCAGGTCCTTGCCTCAGAGTGTATTGAAGCCAACAAAACAGCAGGCTTCCTTTCACACGGACATTCCAATAAGGTCCGCCTGCCCGTTTTTCAGGCAGACCTCTATTCTCCTCTATGGAGTGGCGGGTGTTAAACGTACATGTGTCCGTTTATACCTGCTGACATCCAATCTGATCCGATACTCCAAAATGAGACGGATGGGGATCCATTCTCCTTCCGTTCGTTGGTTGGATCGATGGCAGTCGGATGGAAACGGACAGGTCATCCGACAAACGGGTCCGGTATCGCATCTGCTGGAAAAATGGGCAGTCGGATAGAAACGGACAGGCGGTCCGTTTCCAAGGATCTCCCATTGAGGGCAGGCTGTGTCCATGTCCGCTCTGCATGAGTGGACACGGACCTGTCATGTGCCTACTCAGCGGGGATCAGCAGACTGATACCACTCTAAACAAGCAGATCCGCTGACGGGTCTGCCCCGTGTAAAAGGGCTGAAGTCATCCAGCAAGGGCAGTCTTCATATTCTTTAATTGCAAGTGTCCTTTTTTGTTTTGCTATATATCTCAAAAAGATACACTCTGTACAATTACAGCGTACTGGCCCTTTAAATCCAGGAACAATGAACAAATTGAGAGCGCTGCACGTTTCTAGTTTAGGCGCTAAACCAGATGGGGAAAATCGAAACCTGCTTTAGATCAGATCCCTCATGAGATTCGTTTTCTGCGAAGGTATTGATCATTGGAAAAAACATCGTGAGCTCTATCACATTGTTTCTGGCTATTTGGTTATTTGCTGTCGGTTGTGTCTGAGCCAAGTGGGCAGCTGGCAGCTCCCAGGCGTGTTCGTGAAACATGCGGTGAAACCGGCTGCTCGCTGAAGAATGACTCACATACAAATGCAAGCCAGGGTACTTCTTGAAAAATAACGTGAAATCCAACTTTAAAAAAGAAAAAAAAAAAAAAAAGAGTATTTTATCCAGTTCAAGATATCCTGCCAAAGGTTTAAATAAATCAGTTTAGTTCACAGATAAAGGCATTGTGTTTGTACAGAATTTCTCCGGAAAGCAGTGTTTATATCTAAATTGTCCCCTTTCACGCTGTACTACGGGTATGCTGATAGGAGGGAAGAGCAGAGTGACAGAGAGATGAGCTGCATTTGTCCAATCATAGGCTGGGGGAGGAGCAAGACATGCAATCATTACCAGACTACTCCAGAGAAAAATCAGGTCTTCTGCCCTGCCAGACAGGGCTGTGTGAAGTGACAGAGCTGTGTAAATCTCAGGGCTGGATGGACAGAAATGCAATTCCTTTGGCAGATAATGCAGCTCATATATATGTATTTAGTTTATGTATGTAGCAGTTTAGTTCAAAACCCACTCTGCCACTTCCTGTAAAAGCACAAGGTTGGAGCTTCACCTTTTTTTGCATCGCACACATTTCCTGGGTGTGTCAGATGCTGGTTTCCCTGCAACTGTGTCCTGTACCAATGTAGGGTGCAGCAGATGGAACCACAGAAAGTGAGTGTAAAAAAAAATATACTTGTGATTTATCCATGCAGGACAAACCAACAGCCTTTAATGCCCCCCATTCCTTCCCCAGCAGGAAATGCTCTTTTTTTTATTTCTGCTGACGTTCTGGAGATTTGGTTTAAGGGCTCATGTACACGGGGCGTTTGGAAAACTCTTCTGAACGATGGAAACTGACTGATGGGAAAACGTAGAACTGATTCCTTCCCCCACACACAGCCAGGCACACAGAATTTTCTCCATCTCTACTGGCTCAAATAGAACAGTCTTTTAATGCTTTATTGGCCTCAGACTGTTTATGGGCACTCCAACCACCTACTGGGCACACTTCCCCAGTGATTGGCTGGATCCCCATAAATATTCAGGTTGCCTCTTCTGTTCTTCCTCCCATATATAATTCTGGGATCCTCTAGAATACAGGAGAAAGTAATCAGATCAGCAACCTGTGAGACACTGAGCAGCCCTAAATAGTCAACGCTAATGCAGGCCATAGATGGGTCGTTAATCGTTCGATTTTTTGGCCGAAAGAAAAATTGGCCTTTTTTCGTATTGTTAGTGGATTAGTTCGTTGGCCGTTTTTCGTGTATTTTGCACTTTCAGATTATCGGTTATGTTGGGAAATTTGCGGCCGATTTGGACGATCAGCCAATTTTCCCGGCAATGATGGCCAAATCGGACGATCTTTGTAACAATAAAAAATCTGCGCATGAGCTGTGACCTGAAAGGGACAGAAGTTATGGGGTGAACGTTATGATTTAGTCGGACGATTTTTTTTTATTAATTGGTGGTAACGTCGGCCGAAAGAACGACCGATTTTTCGTTTATCGTTTGAAAAATCGGCCAATGTTCGACCCGTCTATGGCCTGCATTACTCCACTGATTACAGCTTAACCTCTTCACACCAGCCGTATGCAAATGTGTGGCCTCCCAGCGTCTGGGCCTTGACGCCGAGCGGCCGCACATTTGCGTGCAATTAAGAAAAACATATGTGCTGAGAGCGCGAGCCTGCGCGCTTCCAGCACACATGTCCGGTGCTCACGGAAAGGTCCCGAACTCCTCTTGTGATCGAGACTTTTCCCAATCGTGACCGCCGTGACGGCGAATCACGGTGGTCACATAACCCTAAAACCCAGCCTCCCGGCTTCTGAAACCCTTAAAGGGCCAGGAGGCGCCGGTGCCAAGGTGTTAAAAATCGTCAGTTTAGCCGCGCTTCCATAACGCGTTTATGTGCATTTGCGTTTAGAAGCGTTTTTAAAAGATAACCTTAGGAGACCTTCCCAAATGCCCAGAATGCACTGAAAAACAGTAAAAAACTAACTATTTCAGACATTTTGAGAGGAATAGAGAGAGCAGAAGCAGAGAAAGCAGTATGTGTGGAGATGACCGGTCTTTTCTGGTTGTATTCACTATGGATCCCATCATGAGCATAATGCGGCGCGTTCTACCATTTTTTCCTTCACACGAAACCTGGAACTGACTGCGCTGGTGTACCGGGTCCATTTGAATACATGGAAAATGCTTTGCATGCATTTCTGATGATGAAAAAAGGCTCTGGACAGCGTTTGGACATGGAACAGTTAAAAAAACGCTTCTAAACGCAAATGCTTATAAACGCGGTTAACCGCTTGAAACGCCAGTAAAATCTCCTGAACGCAAGTTTGGTGCGTTCAAAAAAACGACTGTAAACTCACCTGCCTGTAAACGGCGATGTGTACATGGACACATAGGAAAACATTAGGGAGAGATCAGGGGCTGCTGAAAATAACGCTGAACACCTCCTGAACGTCAGTTTATCAGCTGCAGCGTACATGAGCTTTAATCTTTGTGTAGGCACTTCCTCCCATCACAAAAACGTGGATACAAATTATAGCACATAGGTGGCTAGTTTAAAGCGTTCTCTTTGACTTCTCCATCCAGATATCCATTTGACCAATGTTGCTGTGCAGAAAACGGCTCCGGACTATGACCCAGAGAAGGTGAGAGACGAAGCATTGTTCAAGGGACTTTTTGTATCCGTGCTATGCAAGCAGCTGCTAAGAAATCCCCGTCTGCCTGGAGAAGTAAAAGGGTGTAACTTGTACCTTACCCAGGCATGCTAGGCAAAGCAACAGGTTCACCTAAATTCCCCTACCTTCAGCAGCACATACCTTTACTTTGCTCCCCCCCTCCACTCCGTTCAGTCACCGGGACTGGAGAGGCTCAATATTCCTAGGTTTGGGGGGAGCATGTGGCTCACTCTCCTTACTATCGTACAGCAGCGTTGGTGATTGGCTCAGCCCTGTCACACGAAAAAGTAGAAAATAGTCCTTATTAGAGTTGACAGGGTGTAACGGAACCGACTCCAGGCTGCACTTGGGTACTTCCGTTAGAATACCGATTCCCCGTCCGAACACCGACCACAGACACCACAGCTGACCATACAAGATTAGACGACACCAGTCTTGAAGTAATCCAGAGAGTAGACTAGTTTATTTGAACACAGATACAAGATATATACACTCAGGGGGCAATCCCCCCTCCCTGCATAATGACACAGACACACCTACTGACAGTCCCATCAGGAGGGAGGGCTGCTGGAGATACCTCCCACCAAGCCAATACACATAATCACATACATCCCATAATAGTTTGGTCCCAAGCAAGACACACAATAGAACAATGGGATGCAACCCATGGCATTAAACAATCTACAACCCCCACCCCACGTATACATGTCTACACAATATTTGGACAGATCACCCTGTACCCCTAACAGGCACAGGGTGACTTACACATAATAGGGATATGGGGAGCTGAGACAGGGGTCTCCCCACCTCTCCAAAGTGAGCTGGGTTCCATGGGCCCCCCACCCAAAGTGACTCCCGTCACACAGTGCGTCCTCTATTTCTGGTGGCTGAACAGACGTGGATGAATATGCCAAGAAGGGTTGGGGGTCAAAAGCATATTCCAACTTTTTTAACTAACTGCCATCCGCCCTTTAGCAGAAGTACTGCTACAGGGCGGCATGGCTGCGTAAAATCACACGCACACGTTTTGAGGGTGTGTGCGCCTCTCTACCCACGCCGCTATTGGCAGCTGGGGATGTCAATCACCGGGTCCCGGCTGGCACTCAGTGATCGTCGGCAAAGCTGACAGGGGAGAGTCCTGTGTGTAAACAACACAAGTCTCTCTCCTGTCAGCATGGACATGCTGCTTTGTATCCCTCTGCACAGCAGAGAGATACAAAGCAGCATGTCTCCCAAGTAAAACAACACACAATGTAAAGCAGCACACAGTTAACCTTTTGATCACCGCAGATGTTAACCCCTTCCTGCCCAGTGTCTTTAGTACAGTGTCAGTGCTTTTTTACACTGATCACTGTATTAGTGTCACTAGGGATGTCAGTGGCAGTTAGTCAGTGTCAGAATGCCCACCACAGTCCAGCTATAAGTCGCCATTACTATTATCTTAAAAAAAAAAAGGAAAAAAAATATGGAGAACCCCACAATTCAGGTAAGAGGGGTAGGGTGCTGTGGAATGTGACTATGTCTCATATTGCACTCTAATTACAAGTAGGGGCGTATTCACAGGGCAAACAAGGCGTTTGCATAGGGTGGCATTTTTCAGGGGGGATGGCAAAAGAAGGGACACACAAGGCATGGGGACCAGGTGGGATCTGTGAGAGGCTGCGGCCTGCATGAGTGTGTATGCAGAGCCTGACTCTCATTTCTGGGGATGGCCAGAGCTGTGAAAGTGAGTGTGTCTCTCTCGCCTGGTGGGGGGCGTGGCAGGTGGTGGAAGGCTCTCTCGGCCAGGAGTGGTGTTGGTTGGTTGGTTGGCATTGGTCATTGTCAGGCTCTCTCCACGGGAGGGGGGTGCAGTGAGATGTGGTGTTGATCTGGACAGCGGGGGTGGGGAGCGATTTTTGTGCTACACCACTGAATATAAGTGTAGCATGAAACACGGTCAGAAAGGTGGATTTACCGTTCATGCTATTCAAGTTCACTGTATTGTATTGCTAGCTATTGAAACTAGCTAGCCAGCAGCTAGCAGGGCCCACTTTGATTTTTAGATTTTCAGCTGTCAGGTTTGCTCTGTTTTTTAATGTAATACATATTGTCTATAGCATTATCTATATTGTCCACAGGGCTGTAAATGGATGATCCAACACCTCCGTCACTACCTGACCACCAAACATGGTCCAGAAGCGGTGGAGACCCTCTTCCAAAACGTGGATAACATCTTCATCAAAAGCCTGCAGAGCGTTCAGAAGATTATCATCAACGACAAGCACTGCTTTGAGCTCTACGGCTATGACATCCTACTTGATGAAGACCTTAAACCGTGAGCATAGACTTTTTTTTTTTTCTATCTATTAAGGACAAAACAAGCTTTGGTTTTAGGCTTCCTTTGCCTATTCTTTGGTTTTAGGCTTCCTTTTGCCTACTCTTTGGTTTTAGGCTTCCTTTGCCTACTTTTTGGTTTTATGCTTCCTTTGCCTACTCTTTGGTTTTAGGCTTCCTTTTGCCTACTCTTTGGTTTTAGGCTTCCTTTGCCTACTTTTTGGTTTTATGCTTCCTTTGCCTACTCTTTGGTTTTAGGCTTCCTTTTGCCTACTCTTTGGTTTTAGGCTTCCTTTGCCTACTTTTTGGTTTTATGCTTCCTTTGCCTACTCTTTGGTTTTAGGCTTCCTTTGCCTACTCTGGTTTTAAGATTCCTTTGCCTACTTTTTGGTTTTAGGCTTCCTTTGCCTACTCTTTGGTTTTAGGCTTCCTTTTGCCTACTCTTTGGTTTTAGGCTTCCTTTTGCCTACTTTTTGGTTTTAGGCCTCCTTTTGCCTACTTTTTGGTTTTAGGCTTCCTTTTGCCTACTTTTTGGTTTTAGGCTTCCTTTGCCTACGCTTTCATGCTTGTGTACTAAAAAATGGCCACTGGCCTTCACAGCAAGGAGCACATGGAAGGGTGACGCATGTCAAACAACAAAACAGAAAAATTCCCAGCTCTGGATCTGGGTGTAGGATTATAACTTTTTCTTTTTTTTTTTTTAATGGTTGCACTGGATGGACTTTTTGTCTTTTTTTCAGCCAGACTAACTATGTAACTTGCCAGCCAGCTTGCAAACAAACCGAATTAACCTGTCTTAACAGTATTCATTAAAAACAGGGGTTTAGTTACCACACATTTACAAATACATGCGTGTGTCTAGCACTGAAGAAAGCCTGAGGCCTCATTACATGCAGAAAGACTGATGGAAACTGAAGCGCAGATTTCACTTGAAGAGACATCAGTTTTCATGCACGCTGCAATGAGTTTCATACACGTTGCAGATTCTTGCGCAGAACAAATCTACATGCGATACCAGTGTTGTGGTGCGAGCAGGGCACATAGAGAACAATTGATGTTGGTGTGCCTCGCAGAGTGTGTGCAGAAACAACTGATGTCAGGGGCAGACTGACAACTCATGGGGCCCCCGGGCAATAGGAAATCATGGGGCCCCTGTGTCCTCGCCAACACTCAAACCACAACCCAAAAAAAGCCTATGAAAGGTATCAGGGGCATCTCATGGGGCCCCCTACTGACCCCGAGCCCTAGGGCAGTGCCCAATGGTCAGTCCGCCGCTGCTGACGTCTGTGCTCCATGGTGTGAATGAGCCCTGAAGAAGGATTGTTTTCCTAGGAAAGGTAATTATTTAAGCCCTTCTTTTATGAATTAAACAGGTTAACCACATGAGTAGAGTTCCTCTTTACGCTTTGAGTCTGTGTCTTTTTTTTTGTACTGACGCATTCAGACTCTTTGCTATTTGTAGGTGGCTCCTGGAAGTCAATGCTTCCCCTTCCCTGACAGCCAGCAGCCAAGAAGACTACGAGCTCAAGAGTCGCCTCCTGGAAGACACCCTGAATGTGGTAGACATGGAAGGAAGGTGAGGAGTCTACATACAACATTTGATGGACTATAAACAATCTTTTTAATTGAGCCCTTGATAACCGAAAACTCTGAGGTTCTAACCCTCCCCAATATCTTAAAAAAAAAAAAATCAAAGCTTTGGCTGAACTTATACTATGTCTAACCCTAGGTTCATATCTGTGCAGGTGGTGCTGCTGCGGATCTGCACGAAAGTCCGTGCAGCTGCACCACCCGCACAGAGGAATGCGGACCCGCGGGCGGGTGCCATTATTCTAATGGCACGCCGCCTGCACTGGAAAACGCAACCGTACTGGGAACTGAGGTTCCCGTGCGGGCTGTGTTTTTGGAAGAAGTGCCGGTACTTCTTCCCTGCGTGGCACAGGAGTCCATTCAAATGAATTGGCTCTCGTGCCCGTGCAAAATGCAGCCCGCACGTAGATGTGAACCGGGGGTAATTCTTTTTTTGTTTGACATACTTGTGCATAAAGAGGAAAAAAGTTTTAAGTTTGTTGGGGAGTGGTAAACCTCTGTTGTCCGTTTTTGTTTTTTTTTATTGCTGTCAGTCCAAGCTGATACTGCTCAAGACAGATAAATATTGATAAAAAAAAAAAAAAATCACTAATGTAGTCTATTCTGTGTTCATCCAGATTAACCGGAAAGGAGAAGAGAGTCGGAGGATTCGATCTCATGTGGAACGATGGCCCTGTGTCTCGTGACGACGGACAACAAGATGTTCTCAGCAACGGAAATTTTGTGGCAAACACTCACTTAGGTAAAAAAAAAAAAAAAAAAAAGAGAAAAACTCTATAGCCAGCGATTTAATCCGATTTAGGTATAAACTCCACCCCCTTTCTCTTTTCAGGCTGCGTCAATGACAGGAAGACCAATCTGAGACAGATCCTGAAATCCACGTACACTAAGAAATCATAGATAATGGAAGATCTTCCTCTGTACAGGGACTGTAAATAAAGTATATATCTTTTAATTACAATACGTAGAGTTATAACTTAATGTGTGTTGCTGAAAAAGAATCACTAAATAGAATGGTTTCTGCTTCTATGGCGTGCCTACCTTGCTGGTTGAGACACTGATAAATCGCCCCTGCCAGGATTTCTCATTGCCATAAAAGTAGAGGATTGGTTTATTTATTTGAACAGCAATCCTGCTGCTGGCAAGATGTCACTCGCAACAAGATGGCTATCGTGTCATGGGCCTACGAGTACTTTAAAGTGGTTGTAAAGGAACTATTTTTAAAAATAACAAACACGCTATACTTACCTGCTCTGTGTAATGGTTTTGCACAAAGCAGTCCTGATCCTCCTCTTCTTGGGGCCCCCCACTGGAGCTCCTGGCTCCCCCACCGGGTGCTCCCATAGCAAGCCACTTGCTATGGGGATACTCGTGTGCTCGCTCGCAAGCCGGCTCGCTATGGGGATACTTGTGTGCTCGCTTGCAAGCCGGCTCGCAGTGGTGGTACTCGTGTGCTTGCTCGCAATGGGGATGCTTGTGTGCTTGCTCGCAAGCCAGCTTGCAATGGTGGTATTCGTGTGCTCGCAAGCCAGCTTGCAATGGGATTACTCGTGCTTGCTCGCAAGCCGGCTCGCTATGGGGATACTCATGTGCTCGCTCACAAGCAGCTCGCAATGGGGATACTCGTGTGCTCGCTCGCAATGGGGATACTCGTGTGCTCGCTCGCAATGGGGATACTCGTGTGCTCGCTCGCAATGGGGATACTCGTGTGCTCGCTCGCAATGGGGATACTCGTGTGCTCGCTCGCAATGGGGATACTCGTGTGCTCGCTCGCAATGGGGATACTCGTGTGCTCGCTCACAATGGGGATACTCGTGTGCTCGCTCACAATGGGGATACTCGTGCTTGCTCAGAAGCCGGCTCGCTATGGGGATACTCGCAGAGCTGGCTTATGAGCGAGCACACGAGTCCAATCCATAGACACACACAGGGGGAGATATACTAAAACTGGAGAGAGCAAAATCTGGTGCAGCTCTGCATAGAAAGCATTCAGCTTCCAGGTTTTATTGTCAAAGCTTAATTGAACAAGCTGAAGTTAGAAGCGGATTGGCTGCCATGCACAGCTGCACCAGATTCTGAGCGCTCCAGTTTTAGTTCTCCCCAACAGAGTGCAGCTCGGCCCCCACCCATTCCTCCTCACTGGCTGTGACTGACAGCATCAGGAACCAATGAGGAGGGAGAGCCGAGAGAGCCTCTGCTCTTGTGCACATTACTGGATCATGCTCAGGTGAATATAATAGACAGGGGGGAGCTAAAGGGGTGAGTTGCATGCAAAATATTTTTTTACCTTAAGGTAACTAAGGTAAAAACCCTTCTGCCATTAGATCCTCTAAGTTTTTCTCGCATGTAGGTAGTGACTGGAGAAAGCCCATTGCTTATTGGTTGCTGTAAATTACTGCACTTAAACCTATTAAAGACCTTATGAAACAGTGGGAGGAGCATTTAAGAAAAGGAGTGTACAGTAACCATGGAAACATTCACTTACTGCACTGACCACTGAAAAATAATGACTTATTTTAATACAGAACATATAAATAAAGCATTGCCAAAGTTCTTATAAACATTATATCCATATAAAGCATCGTATTCTTTAACTGTGAACATATAAAGTGTCTCTCTTGTCGGCATTCCATCTGTTATCCATTCAGAACTTTCTTAATTGCCTTCATTTCGTCTGGGTCCAGTGCAGTCAGGTTGAATCCTTTCAGCTCAGGCTTTCCTGCAGATGATACAAAAACAATTTTAAAAAAGGAAAAAAACCTCTAAGCATGAAAAGATCATGCCACCCAGACTTGACTTTTAATATTTAATGATTGGCAAATGCTGGCAAGTTTATTTACCTTCTAATGCCCAGTGGCAAACCTTCCCTAACCTCGAAACCTTGCACCCCCCTCCCCACCCCTTTGCATCTTCAAGAATATTAAAGCTGAAACTTGTAATTGAGCTTTTTAGCTACTAAAGAGGACAACAGATGATTCACGTAGCGTTTATGTTCTGGAATCCATCTGCCCTTATCTCAGGTATGCAAGCAGGAGGGTGCGTGTAGCTAAGAAAACCCCTCCACACCTGAAGACTCCTAGGATGTATAACATCATTTACCTAGCCTGGAAACCAGGAAGTAACTGAGGAAATGTAAAATGTAAAGTTTCAGATAGGAAGGTATATTATACTTTCCTATCTATTTACTAATGCTTGCATCAGAAAGATTAAAAATAGTTGTTGTTGATTGCGAGAGTCAAGTTCTGCTTTAACCACTTGCCTACCAGGCACTTATACCCCCTTCCTTACCAGGCCAATTTTCAGCTTTCAGCGCTGCCGCACTTTGATTGACAATTGCGCGGTCATGCAACATTGTACCCATATGAAATTTTGATCATTTTTTTCTTACAAATAGAGCTTTCTTTTGGTGGTATTTAATCGCCACTGGGCACTTTACTTTTTGCGCTATAAATAAAAAAAAGTGCAAAAAATTTGAAAGAAAAAAAAAAAAGGTTATGTTTCTTTTATAAAATTTTTCAAACAGGTATTTTTTCTCCTTCACTGATGTGCGTTGATGAGGCAGCACTGATGGGCACTGATAGGCGGCACTGATGGGCACTGATAGGCAGCACTAAAGGGCACTGATAGGCAGCACTAATGAGGTGGCACGGATAGGCGGCACTGATATGCAGCACTGATAGGCGGCACTGATAGGTGACACTGATTATGGGTACTGATAGACGGCACTGACTGGCATCACTGCTGGGCACTGACTGGCGGCACTGACTGGCACAACCCCTGGGCACTGACTGGCACTGACTGGCAGCACTGGTGGGCAGCACTGGTGGGTGGCACTGGTGGCACTGCTGGGCACATGTAGGTGGCACTTCTGGGCACAGGTAGGTGGCACTGCAGAGTGGCACAGGTGGGGGCACTGCTGGGCACGGGTGGGCGGAGCTAGTGGGCGCACTGCTGGGCGGAACTTGCGGGTGTCACTGCTGGGCACCGATCATCAGGGCACTGATCATCAGTGCCCTGATGATCGGTGCCGATCCCCGCTCTGACAACTGCCGGTTCTCGGCAGTACTTTCCTCACGATCTGACAGCGTGAGGAAAGTGCAGCCGAGAACCGGCACTTGCATTTCCCTGTGATCAGCGTGTCATTGGACACCGCTGATCACGTGGTAAAAGGCCGCTGTGATTGGCCTTTTACCACATCACGTGCTCAGCTGTGTCCGTAGGACACAGCGATCACGGAGATCGCCGGGTGCGTGCCCCCTGGGGCGTGCAGGAGAGCGCGTTCTGGGAGGACGTCATATGACGTCCACCCAGAACTGGCCGGCCGCGGTGAAGCCGTCATTCGGCTATGCGCGGTCGGCAAGAGGTTAAGTAACACCCACAGTAGTGGTGCACCGAAATGAAAATTCTGTTGCCGAAACAGATACCGAAAATTCAGAATGCATGTGTCCGAAAAGTCTGTGTATGTGGGGGTAGGGAGGCTCCAATTTGTGTTTGTGTGTTTTCCTTTTTAAACTTATGATTTTATTGCTATCGCATAGGGGACCAGTAGTCCCCTATGTGGTGGCATATGGGTGACAGGTCCACTTTGTAGGGGGGAGGGGGTGGGGGGCAGTGTGTGCAAGGAGGGGGCAGGAGAGCAGCAGTGTATACAGTAAGGCCCCCTCACTGGCTTTCACTATATGTCGGTGCCAATTTTTAAATGCAATTGCGGCTTTTTTATTCACTATAGCTGTCACTTTTCCCATAGCTAAAGGAAACTTTGTTTCTTTTATCTCGGGAAAGAAACTAAAAGGAACGTCGTGTCTTTTAACTCTGGGAAAGAAACTAAAAGGATGCTTTGTTTCTTTTAGCTGGAGGGAAAGTGACAGCTAATTCTGTGAGCTATAGTGAAGAAGAAAAAAAAAAAAAAAAAAAGCCGGTAATTACATTTAAAAAAACAGCACTGTATACACTGCTCCTCTCCTGCCTTTCTCAGCCGTACGTGTACACACACTAAATTTTTCCTATTGGCAAAATGCCGAAATTCTGGTGCATCCCTAACCTACAGGTCTCCTGTCTGTCCCCAGCCTGTAACTGGACAATGACTGATGAGGATATTTGTCACGGCTGTCAGCAATGTCCCTTGTTAGCACATGAGCACTGAAACACAGCTGATTGTGCTGCTCCTATCCCCGCAGTATGAGCTCTGCTGTACAGGGAATTGCAAGAAGCTGATACCAAGTCAAATTCAGATACTTATTCTACTTGCATTTATAAATACACATATAAACTTCGGCTTTAAGAAAATACATAAACTACTGCTTATTTCTAAATTCAGTTGATCCATGTCATACACTCACCTTGTGCTTCATAGAGTTGGTTCACTTTTCCTGGCAGCTGTGAGCGAATTGTATCGATTTCCTTATCCAACTGCTCCTGATCTGTCAGAAAATGTAATTCTTTAACATTAGAATCTCATCACAATCATAACATAGTTACATAGTTGTTACCTAGTCTGGTTGAAGAAGAAAACAAAAAAAAAAAAAAAACACGTTGCTCTAGTTCAACCAATAAAAGGGGGGAAAAAAAAAAAAATAAAAATAATTAAAAAACGCACAAAAATAGCACATCAACCTTCCCTCCCAGACCAGCTCACCTCGCTGAATCATTTCTTTGGTTTTGTTTTTTGGCAGATCGATGAACATGCTGCCAAAGCAAACGGTTACCACCTCTGCAAAAGAGATATCACTGTAGTCAGTACATGAGTGCAGACTCACACACACTCTCTCTCTCTCTCCTGTCATTTTAACTGAGTCTTTGGGAGTCTAAAGTGGAATTTCACTCTCTCAATCAGCATTGGCTATTTTGAATCCTTATGCCGCTAGCATTACTTCTTTTAAACTTTAATTTACATTTCCTCAGTTACTTCCTGGTTTCCATGCCTAGGAAAATGATGTCACACATCCCAAGAGTCTTCAGGAGGGGCTTTCTAAGCTAAGTACACCCTCCTGCTTGCATGCCTGAGCTAAGGACACATGGATTCCAGGAAGCAATTGCTACATGAATCATCTGCCCTTACTTAAGATGGCCACGGTCAGAAATGCCAGGGCAGGTGTTTTTCTAAATGATTTCTCGGCAGAATAAAGCATGGAGACGTGGATGAATGAGGGAGTTTGCTTTAAATATTAAAAGCTGAATCAAATAGCGCTTTTAGTTTGTGGTGTTTAGACACAGTGTAGTTCTGCTTTAAAGCGGAACTTTGGTCTTGCGATCAACACTGACTATTTTTAATTCTTATGCTGCTAATATTCGTAAACAGATAGGAAGGTATATTAGATTTCCCTAAAAGTATCCTCCTGCGCTTTATATAGATAAGAACCCTATATGTGAAGCTGCTATCACTCTACTTAAACCACTAAGTGATCAAAATTGTGTATATAAATTAGTGAAGCGCTATAAATATGATATCAAATACATAGTGCCATTAATAACTCATAGTGCTATATAAAAATATAACCCTGATGAAGTCACGACGCACGTGACGCAACGCGTCGGTACGCCATATCCGGTTTCTAGTCACGTCACTTCCGGTCACGTGGGGACGCATGTCCGGACGCAGCGGCCATATTGGTTTCCCCTTACTTCATGTTACACACCTATGGGATGAGGTGAAACAGCTCTTTGTGACAAGGAGACAAATGTGAGTGAATTACCATGTTTTAAATTCCATCATTAAAACAATATTACACTATGGGAAGTTCTTTTTGTGTCCTATATAACGAATGAGTGGAAATCCTGTGATCCCCTGGTGAGCTGCCTGCAATTAAGGATGGTCATAGAGGAGATTAATAGCCCCTTTGGCCCTGTGTGGGTCAGGGTGGGGAGGTGAGCTGGCATTGCTGCCATTTGAGCATTAGAAGTGAAGATCACTCTTCCTGTTTTTCACAAGTTGCATCTGCATGGACTTATTTTTGGTTTATATGCACATTAATGATTTATGTGTGTGAATCACAATTATTAGTTTACTAAATTATATTTATGAATTATTTGGACATTTTATCACCTTATTATAATTTTTATCACGTATTGTTGTGAATTTATTAGTATATTTTTATATATAGCACTATGAGTTATTAATGGTACTATGTATTTGATATAATATTTATAGCGCTGCACTAATTTATATACACTATTACATTTACTTGTTTCAATTTTTTTTTTTTTTTTTTTTACATTTCTTTGGTTACTTCCCGATTTACATGCCCATTTACACCTGACGCTCCTTAGAGGAGAATCTGGTCCGCCTGAAAAACAGACAGGTGGATCCGATTGGAACGTTTGTGTGCAAAGGGGCCTAAAGAACATTGGTGCTTCACGTAAAATATTCTGGATGAAGGTGGTTAGGTGTCACCTGATTTATCGGTGTCTTTGCTCAGAGCCCTCAAAGCCTCTCTGTTCTGGTTCCTCTTGATGTCCAGGTCTACGATCTAGAAAGGTGAGATGTCATTCATCAGTAGAGATGTTGGTATCATTGATGGTACACAATATCCAATGCGGTTTTACGTGCAAAATGGCAAACTACAAGTGCTGCTACACGATATACAGCGCAAGGCTTGAGACCAGATTAGACTTTTAAATCTCCCTGTGTCCCCCTTCTGCACATTTCCCATGTTTCCTGTCCCAGTGACACCCCATTCAAAGCAGGAAAAAAAAAAAAGTTCTTGCTGGCACTGTACTTTAACATTTCAACCTGCTTTTGCGCAATCAAATTGCGGAACCTGTACAAACTCCATGCAGGCAGGGATCTACCGGGAACTGAAACCCAGACCCCGGGGATAGAAGGCAGCAGTGCTAACCACTGAGCCGTCGTGCTGCCCAACCGAGAAACACATGACCGCTCGTGCAAGGCTGCCGTTAATGTGACTAAGGGGGGGGATGGGAAGAGTGAAATGTTTTTGGGGTGGCATGGTAAAAATTTTATAAAAGTGGGCAGCACCGTGGCTAAATGGTTAGCACTTCCACCTGGCAGTACTAGGGCCGCTGGTTGGAATCCCAACCATGACACCACCCACCTGCAGTTTGCACGTTCTCCCTGTGCCTGCGTGGGTTTCTCCCGGATGCTCCGGTTTCCTTCCACACTCCAAAAACATGCTGGTAGGTTAATTGGCTCCTGTCTAAATTGGCCCTAGTATGTGTATGTATGAATGTGAGTTAGGGACCTTAGATTGTACGCTCCTCGGGGGTGGGGACTGATGTGAATGTGCAATATATATGTAAAGCGTAAATTGATGGCGCTATATAAGTACTTATAATAATAATAAAATGACCTGCATCTATAAAAAAAAAATATATTTATATATATATATATATATATATATATTTTTATATCGTTAAATATACAAATTTTATATATATATATATATATTCAGGTAATTTCATATACATATATACACACACAGTAAAAAGCTCATTCATGCATTGGAAAAATGACAGATGTAACCTAATTGTAAACAATTGAAATAATGCCTCCCCTCCCCCTACACGTGTCCCCCCCCTACTCACCTGCCTTCTGTCCCCCAACACATCCTCAGCCTTCCTCTCCACCTCCTGCAGATACTCCAACACACTATCCATTCCTCCATCATCCACCTCCATCCTTCCCTCTGTTATTAGACGCGCACTATACACGTCTCTTCCTCCCAATGGTCATTAATCCGATAAAAACTGTCTTCGTTTTCCAACGACGCGGCCATGTTTCCAAAGCCATTGTCTATCCCTTTTTGGACGACAGACCTCGGGAAGATGGCCGCCTCACCGGAGACAAGACTACACCTTAGAGTTGGCGCTCTAGCGCCTGAGCGTGCTATGTAATGCTGGAATCGCGCGCTTCCTCAGGTTGCTATGGGAACGCGCTGAGGTAAATGAGGATGAGCGGGATTTGTAGGCCTGTGGCTCTTTTTTTTTTTTAATGGCTCATTTCAGTCCAGGCCTTCAGTGTGTGGCTAGACTTGCTGGTGCTTGTAGTGCTTCAGCTTATGGACTACATTTTAAAGTGATGCTGAGGGGCTTTGGAAATGAAGAGAACCAGCTACTTGGTGAACCATAGCAGAGATAAATATTGGGGCGGCCATTGCCAGCCTTTCATAATGGTGGCCCCTTGAATTAAAGTGACCCTTTCATACCTGCTAAAAGAAATAGGCCGCATATACGTCTTCTGGCGGCCATTTCTTCAAGTAGCGCCACCTCTCTGCCCACCGTGCCCTGTCAGCCAATGAGATGGGTCAAATATTTGCTGATGGTGGTTCTTCCCGCTTCTGTTTTCTTAATAAAGTGGAGAAGGGCTAGAACCTCTGTCGGCTTTTATTGCTCTCTGTGGCCCTCTTAGGGAGATTCATCCTCACTTCCTGTTCTGGTGACAAATACCAGAGAGAGATAGGCGGGCAATTAAAAAGTGTTTATTTATTTATTTATTTATTTATTTTATTTTAGCAGTGTAGATGAAGACTAGAGCCTCCGGAGGCTTTTTTTTATTTTTTGCTATCCCTTTGGAGATTTTCCTCCACTTCCTGTCTGGGTGACCACTCCTGGAGGGTAAACTTTAGCTTTAGATAGACAGCAATAAAAATATATTTTTAATTAAAGTAGAGCTCCACCCAAAAGGGGATTTTCCACTTTAAGGCCTCATCCCCTGCTCCCCGTTAAGGATTGGCATCTTAGGGGACCATGTGGGGTACCCATATTTGACAGGTACCTGCTCCCATTTCCTCTGCAGTCGCCTAGGCAATCGGAAGCAGAAGTTGTCCCCCCCTCTCCACATGACAGGTCCCAGAAGACTACGGGACCATGCACAAGGTGCTGCGCTTCTTGCGCATGCGCAGTGGGCACCCGACTGTGAAGCTGCATGCTGTCACAGCCGAGTGTCCACACTGAAGGTATCGGGGACACAGGAAGGCCAGTGAACCCGGCCGGTGTGAGGACACCACGGGATCGAGGGACAGGTGAGTGGCTTTCCTTTTGAAGATTTTCCCTCACTTCCTGCTTGGGTGACAACCTTCAAGAGGGAGAACCACAGATAGATGGCAATAACATTTTTTTTCTCTAGTGTAGATGAAGGCTACAACCTCTGTCACTTTGAAGATTCTCCCTCACTTCCTGCCTGGGTGACAACTTCCAGAGGAAGAAATGTGAGGCTGGAACCTCTGACAGCATTTTATTGCTGTCCCTTTGAAGATTTTACCTCACTTCCTGCCTGGGTGACAACTTCCAGAGGAGGGAAAATCTCAGAAGGAGATAAGCAGCAATACAAAAAAAAATGCAGTTTTCCTGGCACCAATATGGCAGCATACAACCACGTGAAGGGAAAACTACAGTAAGCATTTGACACCGGTTTCCATCTTCCTGGTACCAACATGGCAGTGTACACACGCCAGTATGCTGCCATGGATTGGCACCAGGAAAGGAAAATGGCGGTAAGCCTAGGTTCACACATACGCGTTTGCACGCATGTGCCGCGGGTACAGCAGCTCATCCATTTGAGAGAAACGCAGACCCTTTAAAAAAAAAAATACTGCATGTTGCGTGTGCAGGTGCCCATACGTGTGTGTGGGGGACATTGAGCATTAATGGCACCTTTGCGCATCTAAACAGCAATGCGTTTCTACGTGAGCCGGGAACATGCGCGGTTATGAACTTGTTCCTGTATGTATGTGGACCTAGCATTAGTCTGGGCTCACATCGATGCGGCTCTGTGCCCCCGAATGGGCTGCTGTACCGCAGGAAAAAGGTTTTTGCACCTTTTTTTTAAAAAACACAACCGCAGGGATTTCCCGCAACCGAAAACGTGCTCCGTTTTGCAATGCATGAGAGTGCCATTAAGAATGAATACCAGCCCTGCGCGTCTGGAAAAGAGCAGGTCGGTTTTGGATGCAGGTGTACTCGCAGCAATCCTCAGCAAGTGGCGGTGCTGCTTCATGTGCCCTTCATCGCTGAGTTCAGGGGTCAGGAATAATTGATGCAGTGTTCACAAGTCAGGAGTAAGTAATGCAGAGCTCAGGGGTCAGGAGTAAGTAATGCAGAGTTCAGGGGTCAGTAGTAAGTAATGCAGAGTTCAGGGGACAGTAGTAAGTAATGCAGTGTTCGTGGGTCGAGTAAGTAATGCAGAGTGCAGGGGTCAGTAGTAAGTAATGCAAAGTGCAGGGGTCAGTAGTAAGTAATGCAGAATTCAGGCCTCATGAGTAAGTAATGCAGAGTGCAGGGGTCAGGAGTAAGTAATGCAGAGTGCAGGGGTCAGTAGTAAGTAGTGCAGGGGTCAGGAGTAAGTAATGCAGTGTTCGTGGGTCAGGAGTAGTAAGTAATGCATTGTTTGCGGGTCAGGAGTAAGTAATGCATTGTTTGCGGGTCAGGAGTAAGTAATGCAGAGTTCAGGGGTCAGGAGTAAGTAATGCAGAGTTCAGGGGTCAGGAGTAAGTAATGCAGAGTTCAGGGGTCAGGAGTAAGTAATGCAGTGTTCAGAGGTCAGTAGTAAGGCAGTATTCAGGGGTCAGGAGTAAGTAATGCAATGTTCAGGAGTCAGGAGTAAGTAATGCAGGGGTCAGGAGTAAGTAATGCAGAGCTCAGGGGTCAGTAGTAAGTAATGCAGAGTTCAGTGGTCAGTAGTAAGGCAGTGGTCAGGAGTAAATAATGCAGCATTCAGGGGTCAATAGTAATGCAGAGTTTTGGGGCCAGTATTGGGTAGTGCAGAGTTCAGTGATCAGTAGTAAGTATTGCGGAGTTCAGGGGTCAGGAGTAAGTGATGCAGTGTTCATGGGTCAGGAGTAAGTAATGCAGAGTTCAGGGGTCAGGAGTAAGTAATGCAGAGTTCAGGGATCAGTATTATTTCATGCAGAGTTCAGGGGTCAGTAGTACATAAAGCATAGTTCGGGGGTCAGGAATAAGTGATGCAGTGTTCATGAGTCAGGAGTAAAGCAGTATTCAGGGGTCAGTAGTATGTAATGCAGTGTTCAGGGGTCAGTAGTATGTAATGCAGTGTTCAGGGGTCAGTAGTACGTAATGCAGTGTTCAGGGGTCAGTAGTACGTAATGCAGTGTTCAGGTGTCAGTAGTAAGTAATGCAGAGCTCAGGGGTCAGGAGTAAGTAATGTTGAGTTCAGGGGGGTCAGGAGTAAGTAATGCGGAGTTCAGGGATCAGTATTATTTCATGCAGAATTCAGGGGTCAGTAGTACATAATGCATTGTTCGGGGGTCAGGAATAAGTGATGCAGTGTTCATGAGTCAGGAGTAAAGCAGTATTCAGGGGTCAGTAGTACGTAATGCAGTGTTCAGGGGTCAGTAGTAAGTAAAGCCGTGTTCAGGAGTAAGTAATGCAGTGTTCAGGGGTCAGTAGTAAGTAAAGCCGTGTTCAGGGGTCAGGAGTAAGTAAAGCCGTGTTCAGGGGTCAGGAGTAAGTAAAGCAGTGTTCAGGGGTCAGGAGTAAGTAATGCGGAGTTCAGGGGTCAGGAGTAAGGCAGAGTTTGGGAGTCAATAGTAAGTAATGCAGAGTTCAGGGGTCAGGAGTAAGGCAGATTTGGGAGTCAATAGTAAGTAATTGCAGAGTTCGGGGGTCAGTAGTAGTAATGCATTGTTCGGGGGGTTGGGGGTCAGGAATAATTGATGCAGTGTTCACAAGTCAGAAGTAAGTAATGCAGATGTCAGGGGTCCGGAGTAAGTAATGCAGAGTTTGGGGGTCAGGAGTAAGTGATGCAGATGTCAGGGGTCAGAAGTAATGCATTGTTTGGGGGTCAGGAATAAGTGATGCAGAGTTCAGGGGTCAGGAGTAAGTAATGCAGATGTCAGGGGTCAGGAGTAAGTAATGCAGATGTCAGGGGTCAGGAGTAAGTAATGCAGATGTCAGGGGTCAGGAGTAAGTAATGCAGAGTTCAGGGGTCAGGAGTAAGTAATGCAGAGTTCAGGGGTCAGGAGTAAGTAATGCAGATGTCGGGTCAGTAGTAAGTAATGCAGAGTTTGGTAGTCAGTAGTACGGAATGCATTGTTCGGGGGGTCAGGAATAAGTAATGCAGAGTTCAGGAGCTGGCAGCATGGCAGGGTTGCAGTCTACTCATCACATTGCATGATCAATGTGTAGATTGCACCTGACTGGTTGTGGTTCCCTCCCCAATAACGGTTTCCAAACATTCCATTATGGTTCAGATTCTCAGGGACCCCCCCAGACTCCTTACGGAAACACAAACCTCTGCTTGAAAACCATTAGTTTAGGGATACAGTGAAATGACCGCTCACTCTGGTATACAGAAGAGCTCCATGCAGGTGCCACAGCTGGAAGGATTAGAAGTAGGTCAGTACAGTCAGCACTCCAACATGAACGTGGTAACTTCAGCCCTTTATTAGTTTCTAACGAAGATGCAGCATAAGAAAAAAATGTGTTTTTGATGAATACGGACAACAAGTTTAAAATGTCAAAGTGGAACTACTGTAATATTTCAGGGAACGGGAGCGGAATCAAGAAAGTGGCTCCCATCGAGACCTGCAGCTGACCTATCAGAGGACTCGGTCCAGGTAGGCACATAACTGTTGTATTAGCCTGCCCCAGTCATCGATTTTTTTTTTGTTGTTGAGGCCCTTGCTTGAAAATGCCCCCCAAATTTAAAAGCTGAAAAAATG